GCCTATAACGATACCGCCCATTACACGTCAACCAATGAAAATTTGATGGTTATCTGTCGCGAGCAAACTGCTGGCGAATGTATAGCTCTCATTTGCTCCCCTTGCTAGCTTCAATGCATAGGCTGCAGTTGGCATCAACCAAGGAAATATCTAATTCCTTGCATCAACTGAGGCAAGACCTGGCGCTCAAATTGAGACATTTCACATTTCCTATGATGTGCAAAACCAGCTTATGTTTCTTTGTTGTATCAGAGAAGGATATTAATACTTGCTTTATGCATATGCAGATCATGGTTTCTTTATCGTTACAGGGATACTGGACATGTATGCATGTATGTGGTGTCATTATCGCGCTGATACTACGTTCATTAAGGCTGTCTTAAACTTCAAGCCATATGGATATCAGGTCTAATTGCGGTTGGACTGAGGTGTTTTCAGTAATTCAAATCAGTCTCAAAACTCGCTTTGTGAATCTGAAAATATTCAATAGTTTGGATGTTAGCAGAGATTTCAGCACATAGATGATGACTGAAACGATTGTTTTGTAGCCTTTAAGGTGGAGTTAAAAGGTAGATTTACGCTGAAGTAGAGAACAAAAAAAAAAAAAAAAAAAAAAAAAAATCGCCGAACAGTACATGTACATACACGTGCACAGTCTATACATAGTCAAAGAGATATGTGAATATATGTATTTAGTAAACGTATCTCCCTGGTAGATTGAACGGTGATGCGTCACTCTATTATATTCCCTGCTGATCAAATGCGTCAGTTTCTTAAGGGCTTGACTGTAAGCAGGTTAACTTTGTCAAATAAAACATTGTTTTAGGTTGTTGTTAAACATATATACATTTCACAGATTCAATCACAATTCAGACAGATTTTGATGCCATCTAGGGTCAACCCCAATTTGTTAAAAGGTTAAAAGGTAACCATATAAAGAATTAAAATTATTAGAATTAATGCGCCGGTATACGTGCGTTGGCTTACCCTAGTGGTTGCCAACGTGTCAATGATAATGACTCTACCAGCACGTAATTGTGAACAAAAGTAGTCTAGGTCTGCAGAGACAGCGGCTTTATTATACTGTAATTCTGCCTGTTAAAATCTGACTCGAATTCGGCTGATTTGGCTTTCTTTTATCTACCCGACTGCGAAAAAAATCAAGCTTAGCAAATTGCCCTGTTGTCCAAATTGTGTAAGGGAGTGCAATCCCGAGGTTTATAATAATAATAATAATAATAATAATATTAATAATAATAATAATAATAAACTAGGTCATAGTAAGATACCTTATTTGTTATTGAAGAAGAGCAAATATTTTGACAAAAATTGTTTGATGTTGATTAGATAAGATTGTAAGCTATATTTGTGACGGCACGTTTTAGCATCTTACATGTACTTCGGCTCCATCTTTTTGGTTTTGTTGATTTTTCTCCTTTGATATACATGTAGATTATAAATGACATCGAGTGAGATATTAAGTCCGCGGATCAGCTTTGGTTGTGAGTGCGGCCTTTGGTTGTGAATGTGGCCATAGTAATCAAGATCTATGGGCATGCTACCACAAATACCCTAAAAGTTGTTGAATGATGATTAAAAACCTTGATCCATTTGTGTTTAGAAATTGTACTGTCTGCTTATATATAGTAACACATCACGTGAACTCTTCTGCAATAAATATTGTTTTTTGGTGTGTCGACTATGATTGCAGTAAGCTAGCTCTATGGCTGTATTCCCAAAGCTTTTAGATCGATCTATCCCCGCGGGGAGTCTCACTAGATTACTGTCAGATAATCCGGCTTAAATGTCCGTCCCGCCTACTACAAGCTGTAAGGGGGTAATTAACTTTCGTGTCCGCTCGGCTGACAGCTATTTAGCGTGAACCCCCAGGGAGTTAGGTCGATCTAAAGTAGATAGATCTAATCTCTGGAAATGGGGTCTATTTCACTGTCAAGCTGTCAAATTGGGGTGCAAATAAATAAAATTAAAAGATTGATCACGCCCAATATAAACTTTATATTTTTCGTCCGTTCATACATTAAAAATATTTTCCACATTTTAGTGGGAGTCGATATCATTTATTATTATTATTATTATTATTATTATTATTATTATTATTATTATTATTATTATTATTATTCTGTTTTAATAACATTAAAGCACAGTATTAACGCCACGGAATTGGTTTAAATTTACAAAACGCTTTGGTCTATATAGAGCAATTACCCGCTTTGTAAAATCGTTCAATTATATTACATTGTTAAATTATCTCTGAAAAATTGATATCCAGATATCGACTTTGAGACTTGGGAGGGTTTTTAATTTCACATCCTTAGTAGAAATGAATAATTTTCACACTTGAAAAAAAAAAAAACCATGCAGATTCTAGCAGTAAGCGATTTCGTGGAAACCTCTCTTGCTGTACTTAGCACAAAGCCTGGTCCTATAACAACCAGTCATCTTTGTTTTGGTAAATAAACTAAGGTTCTTTGGCCTGTGTTGCAGGATGAGCATTCATTAGTATATCCTATGATGCCTTTAACTTTGATAAACCACACCCTAATGCATGTAAGTAGCATTACCTCCCAGTGGCGGATTTAGATGGAGGGGGGCGGGGTTGGGGGGCTCCTGACCCCCCCTCTTTGGTTTCTGAAAAATATATCACACCAATATTCCCCTCTTTAAATTAGGATTTTAACTAACTAAATCATAGTTCTAAAACGTACCAAAGGGCACTGTTTGCTCTCCAAAATACCAATATCTTTTTTAAACTCCACACCAAGGGGACGATGGTCGGCTTTGCATCTGAGGCCTGTCGTTACGGACCCCCCCCCCCCCTTCAAATAATCCTGGATCCGCCCCTGACCTCCACCAAGGAGATATGTTTTCACCTCTGTTCGCCTGTTTGTCTGTCTGTTCGTCACCAGGCTTTAGCAAACCCGAAACACAACGGATGGGTTTTGAAAAAAAATCAGGACAGTATACATTACCAGAGAATCGTACACAATTATACACTGTATTTGAATGAATATTGATTGAGATATTGTTTATTTGTTAGGGATGAGTTTAAAGATAAGGCTATTAAAACTTGGTAAGTGAAATAATGATGTGACTTTTCCAAGAATAGGACAATACATACGTCAACTGGGTAATGAGAGCTGAGGATGATGTCAGCGGTTATTAAAGATTTTAATATCCTCATGACAAAAGAACAGCGGGACGCAAAAAAAAAAAAAAAAATAAAAAAAAATTAACTAAACATTCGCCCTGTATATACAGTATATGAAATAATGATGAACACCACACCTCAAATGTCAATTGCGTGACGTGAAATGAGGATGAAGTCAGCGTTTTTCTTAGATTTTAATATCCGCATGGCAAATGAAAAGTGATTCGCAAAACACAAATTGGACTGAACATCCCCCCTCCCCAAAAAATGAAGTGCAAATTTTGCTTGAAAACAGCTTCTCAAAGTAGTCTTTTTTATTATCCAGCAGTGAATCCTTGTGGTACATGTAGCACTCAGTATGATATGAAATTCAGTCTTCTTTATTTAATTACTTATTTAAATCAGCACTTACATTATCATGCTTAAGTCTGACTTTCCTGTGTAATAGCGTTGATACATGTAAACTGGAAATTGTTGTGGCCTGTAAAACCCTTAGCCGACACACTAAGCTCTTTGGTAGCTTTCTATGAGTCATGTGCCATAAAGTACTCGACTGTCCTCAAATCTGTTTTGTTGCCATACATTAAAAACCTTACAAACCAACAAACGTACAGTAAAAGAGCGTGTGTGACCAAAAGAAACCAAATTCCAAAAACGTAATGTTAATGATAAGAAATTCACCTCATAGAGATGCTACCAGCCTACCTCTACAAAAGAGGAGACCAGCCGATAATAAGTTTTCAATTGTTTATTAGGTATCAAGTAGACATGAATCGCTGATCAGCTTTGAGGACAGTCGAGTCCTTCATGGCACATGACTCATAGAAAACTACCAAAGAGGTTCGTGCGTCGGCGAAATGAAACAAATTACAAAAAAAGAAAAAAGTTCATTGACTTTTTCTTGAAAATTATATGATGACACCTTCGGGCAATAGGATCCTCAATTCCGTTCTTCGACTAGATCTTAAATGGAACTTCTGAATAAAAAGCTGATGAAACATGATGGTGTTAATCAAATGGTATTAATGGTGGTTGTATTAATAGTGATTGAGGTACATGTAAGTGACAGGAAGCCGCTCCAATCTTAGGGACAAACCGCCACTTCTGATTTTTATGTTAGTATGAAAGCACGCGTCAACGGTGAGTGAACTCAATTAAAAGACAACTTGAACTGGAATATTTAATAAAAAATACATTTATCATTGATTACATCCCAAGGCGTACAACAGTCTGCAAAAATTGACTGAAATTATGTGTAGCAAACGTGTTCGCTAAATTAGGTATTAAATGCAAGCTGACAACATTTCGTTTTGTGTCCTTCAATAACCTTTAATTGAATTAAAAGGGGAAGTTATTGAATGATATGTCAGAGATTAGATGTTAGTCGAAGTAACTGCGTGACTTTTATGCGTAATTCGTATATGTATCGACTTCGTTAATCAACGTCTAGTTTAATAGGTTGACGTCTTTCAGTGTTAAATATAATACAGCTTTTAGATAAAAAATGTGTTTAAATAGATATGCGCAGTTAGCAGAGAATTAAATTAAGGAATAAATGAAATTCCAGAATTATTTTAATGTAAAAAAAAGGAATAGTTTAAAACATTAGTGTCTATTAACAGTTGGAGGATACATGCGTTTCAACTTTGCACGTTAGCAAGCCAAAACTTAATTATTAACATGTGAATCGTGCGAGTATGTTGATACATATGTAATCAATGCAGGTCAACCTCAATAGATTTATGAAGATAAGCCCCTTTTATCAAGTATCTCATGTGACAGATATTAAAGCTGGTCAAGATAACATTCTGATATCAAAATAGTTCACATTTATATGTAGCGAAGGCACGCAGCTGCTAAAGTGTGTCAAACCTGTGTGTCCATTTAACCCTTTTTACATCGACGCGTGCGATATATTCCGATGCCGTAAGGACAGGGCCAAAATGGTCACGTTCCAAGTAGAAACCAGCATGTAGCTTGGCAGTATCCGAGTTCGTCCAAATGGCGCATCAGAGTCAAGGACACGAGAAGATACCAGCAGAGAGCCAAGGCAGCCAGAACACTGCCGCCAAAGAACTGGTGGTCGTGGCAATTGATTTCGGCACTTCTTTTAGTGGGTACGCCTATTCGTACACCCATGAGCCCTCCCGTATATACATGAACAAAAACTGGGGGAACGAGGTGGGATGTGCCCTGTACAAAACCCCCACCTGTCTCCTGCTGAGACCCGATGGCACCCTAGACTCGTTTGGATTTGAAGCGACCGAGAAGTATGCAGAAATGGAAGAAGAGGACTGTCACAAAGAGTGGTTTTACTTTGACAGGTTTAAGCTAAAACTACACACAGAAGTGGTAGGTTGATGTGTTTTGTTATTCCCTGCTTCCTTCCCTCCCTCTCACTCACTCACTCACTCAATCCCCTCAAACCCTCCCTTTCTCCAAAAATACGCACAAACGTATTCCGACACGCTCACATACGATCCAACACAGGGTAAGCGCGTTCACACATACTACGATCTGCACAGTAGTCCGCCTTATTACAAAACAAAACTTATTACAGAATTTGTTGAGTAATTTCTCTGAAAATTGCATAATTAACGTAAAAATAACATAAAAATAAGGTCTCCGTACACCAAATACCTGTAGGAAGATAGTATTGTGTTTCCTATTGTGCTAAACAATGGTGAATGGTAATACTAGTATTGAGCGCATTCAATAATAACATGGCGAACAGTTTTCAGACAGCATGCGCAATAGTAACGATGACGCATTTTCTCGTGACATCTCTATTTATTTTCTTTTATTTCCATTTTTTTCTACATAAATGAAGCCTTGTGTTTTCAGTGCTTTTTATTTCATATCTAAAATTTCTAAAATAATAGTCTTTTTTATTTAATCTAAGCGCCCATACCTCAGGATCACCATGGTTTCCGACAAATAGTCAGTGATAGGTTTATCTGATAATTTTCAATAGCAATCACCACTTGTGGTGACATTTGTGAGCGTCCTTGATGTTAAAAGCGTAGGTTGCAGTTCTCATTCCAACACTGTTTAACTTTCTATTACATACCAAGAGGGACTTTCTTGACGATAAAGTGTTATGAACACTCGTGATTTATCTTATCATTAATACTATGCAATATATCTGTACATATTTAGTAGCATATGTTGTACAAAGTATATCGAGTCGTATGTGACGCAATAGTCTACCAAATGTAACTGATCTTTGAAAACAAAGGTGTTTCATGTGCTAATTTCAGTACGCAATCGCTGCGTAGATGTAGATATGAGTGTTAAATTTAACGGCCACACTGTTTATAATAAAAAACTATATACTTTTTATATTTTGCTTACTCCAAAAAATTAGCTTAAAGTCGTCGAATCTATCAACATTGTTGAACTACGAAAGTTAAACCTCAGAAGAGTGAATGTAGGCCTACATATATATAATTTATATCATCTATAATAAAAGATAATATTGATATAAAAATCCACAACAATCTCCGGTTTTGCTGTAACTAGTTATGTTAATTGGAAACACGTTCAATTTGTGCACGTGTTTTTGGTCTTGGAACAAGTCAGGTCCAGATTAGCCTTAAAAATAGCCAAATCGATAATCCCTCTAGGGACACTGTTAATAGGAGTGTACATAGACTGAGTAGTGCATTGTACCATCCTTTCAGGCAATTAAGGCTTGTTTTCATGAGTAATTTGAATTTCTGTTTGCAGTTCATTGGCTGTGTCCATCAGGTCTAGAAAAATAAGGAGCTTTCTTAAGATTCTGGCACGAAAAAGAATACACAAATGGTGAGGTTTCCTATTACAATTGTTATTGTGAGAACAATGAAAAAAACAACAGCATCGGTCTTTCCAGTTGGAAGCTGAAAGAAAAGCTCTGAATTCATTTAGGAGACCTTGTTTCCGCTGAATGGCTGCTGGTACAATGTTTTTATGTTGCATATTCTTTTTTTTAAATGTCCTCGTAACAGATAGGCAAAAAGGTTCAAAGACGTATGATTACAAAAGTCCTACAAGCATACCTTAAAGTCCTAAATATTACTACAATACAACAATACTATACAATACTACAATTGATTTATGTCTCCTTGATCTAAGCTAATTTAAATAATATGACATGCAGATAAAATAATGGAACAAACTCAAGTACATGTATGCTGTTCGAAATTTGGCCGATGACGGCCTCATTTATTGAAAGTCCCATTACTAAAAGAAATGAAGCAGATTAATGATAAACATTGAATAGTGTTGACAAATGACATTTAACATGTGTGCGCCCAAGAGATGCCAATGCACGTGAATAAGAATGCAGACATTCAAAAAAGCATGCTGAAAAAAATTTATATCACATAACCTACAAGTACACTAGTATATACAAACATCCATTTGAAAAGAATATTATATATTTGCATGTGTTTCTAAGATATTAACAGTACACTTACTTTGATACAACGCAGCGCCTGGACAGGAATATCAAACTGGTCGCTGCAAACGGACGTACGAAAAGCGCAATGGAGGTGTTTTCGCTGGCTATCAGGCATTTAAGGGAGCATTTCTTTGCTAGACAGCATAATAGCGTCTCGGATCACGACGTGAGGTGGGTGATCACAGTGCCCTCTATATGGAGAGATTCGGCCAAACAGTTCATGAGGGAAGCAGCCAAAAAGGTATTGGACATGTTCCTATATGCCATGTCTCTGTCTTTCGCTGTTTCGTTCTCTCTCTCTCTCTCTCTCTCTCTCTCTCTCTCTTGTATCATGTACAAGACACGTTTTCTAGGAAAAGAAACACGTTAATTTTGGATTGCGACTTTGTGTTCCTGTGGCTGATAATTAATGCTAAATAGATAATGCTGATGTTTCAGAAATTTCACTCTTTGCACAAGTTGGTAATTAAGAAACCTTTCAGAATCAAATGACGGCTATGATGATTGGTGAATCTTAAAATGTAGACATCACCTCGGCGATGGTACACGTATGTCTGTTGCCTAGCATACTAAGGAATCATCCATTTTTATCATCAATTTCACAAGAATACAAAGAGTAAACTTTTTTCAGACACAGTCCCCCAACCACCTTTAGAACGTACAAGGTGAAAATCTAAAAATAATAATAATAATGACCTTTGCCAGCTCATCCTTTGGGATGAAGGTCATCATTTTTATTATTTTTCCAGAAACGTACATATCATTCTTGACAGGTTCTTATGCAAGACGGTATTTGCAAGACGCCGGCTGTATTAATTATTAAGACTGGGTTGCTATCAATTCTTTCAGTTACCAATAATGCCTTTGTTTACATGCTGTTCATTCATTGCAATGTCACTGACAGTCTAGGAAGCTCTTTATTATCCGCATTACCTTTCTTTCTTTCGAGGAATATTACTGCCGATCACATTACTGTGTACGATGAACTGCTAGAGAGTTTTTATAAGCATTCAAAATATAACAATCTAACAAAATTCGTTGAAACAAGCATATCTGTTGAAACCTTGAGAGACAACTTCCTGATCATGATGTGGACTACCAATTTGGAGGGCTCCTTAATTTCAGCTTGAGAAAATCTGCATGATATCTAGTGTACATGTAGTTTTAAATGTTTAGTTAACGTGTTCTTAATACACGAAGTTCACACGTACACACACGCGCGCGCGCCCGCGCGCGCGAGTGCGCACAGATACTCCGTTTTTACTGCATGAAAAACATAGATTAAACATATACCAACTGAAGCTCATTCATGTACATGTTCAGCACAATATTTGCCTGATTTTTTTTTCTAGGCTGGGATCAGGGTCAGTAGTCGGCTTGTCATATGCTACGAACCTGAAGCAGCGTCTGTTTTCTGCCAGCGTTTGTCCCCTCATGCGTTCGTGGGTAATTTCACGGCAGAGGGCACCAGGTACCTCGTGCTGGATTGCGGAGGTGGGTCATGTTATTTCACCCTATTTTCCAGAAGTAGGCCTACCTAAAAATACACCTGAAGGATGCTGGAAAAACGACCGATAAAAAGTATACTACCAGTAGGGCCTATACCTTTGACACACAGGACGTGTATATTCCAATGTGATACCCTTAAAAATGCCCTTTAAACCGTTATTAGTGTAAAATCACCATCCATATTTTTTATCAAAGGCACGGCAGGTTCAAGGCTTACACTTCTGTTGCGAGGACAAGAGTTTTGTAAGCACAGGTTACAGGTATAATGTAAATGCACAGAACTGACAGTCCTTCTTATGTAGGATTGAATAGAAAAAATAGAAATAATAATAAAAATAAAAAATTAATAAACATAAAAATAAAACATGACATATTTCTCCCCCCTCAGGCGGGACAGTGGACGTCACCATCCAGCAGATACTGGACAACGGTCATCTGGCCACGCTGCACAAGGCGTCCGGGGGGACCTGGGGCGGCATAACGGTGGACAGGAAGTTTGAACAGCTACTTAAGGACATCTGTGAAGACGAATTCATTGGTAAATATATGCTAATCCCCGAGTTATTGCTGTCAGTCAGTGGGTATCAATGAAAAACCGTTTGTAAATATATATCATATTGATAGTGTGTGTGGAGAGATTTGAAATATTTTATTATTGTTATTTTGTTGATTTCTGTGACATTTCATTCATTAACTTCTTTCTTCCGTGTTTTTATTCAATCATTTTGATAGAATACTTCATCTGGATTGATACACAGTGGCGCAGCCAGGCCTACTTAAGTGATATATCTTAATTGATTATTTAATATTATGGTTTGCTCCAACGATAAATGTACCAGTATGAGTGCAGCCATGGAGGTATATCTCAGACCTTCTTGGTGCGGCCTACCTCTGATTTCAAAAATCTAACCACATTTTTAGATGCCAAACATATAGCGCGCGGCCTACAACCATCGCTGATGGGGGACAGAAAAAAACATATCCACTATGTCCAAAATGACCAGTTAGCCTTAATTAAACTGCCCTCTGAAGTGGATGATACATAGTTAAATCAATCTATCTCTACTACACCTGGAGATATGTTACACGATACACGGAGAATGTGATGCGTGTCATTTTTTTTTCTTTCAGAGGACTACAAAGTTAGGCACCCTAGCGACTGGGTGGGACTTATAAGAGATTTTGAACTAAAGAAGCGCACCGTTAAAGGTGACAGCCCAACCATGATCAACATTCGAATTCCAAACAGTCTACGCGAAGAATTTCAATTTGCAAGAGAAATGCCTATGAGAGACGCATGCGCAAAATGCAATCTTGGTATCCAGTGGGCTGCCGATAAGATGCGACTGCCGCTCCTTCTGGTGACTGAATTTTTCCAAGACAGCATTACTTCTATCATTAATCACGTTAAAACATTGTTTGAAGAGCCGGAACACACTGACATTCAGTATATTGTGTTAGTTGGTGGGTTCTCTGAGTCTCCGCTACTGCAACAGGCCGTGAAGGATGCATTTCGCGACGGACACCAGGTTGTGATACCGCCTGAGGAGGCCGGGTTAGGTAAGGAGACCATGTTAATTAACTATTATTCTGAGATACGCGTGCGTCCACTTCAATATACACTGTGTAATATGTGTCCATTTCAATACACACAAATGCGCGTGCAGATGCAAATTTACAAAAAGACGATATCAATAACACGAGCATAGTCACACACTGTAATAAAAACTTTTTTACTGCGCAAAGCGCAATCCTCATTTCCACGGTTCGTGTCACATTTTCGTTGAGTCGCTCAAGGAAAACAAACCAAAGTTTAAAGGTTTATTTGTTGATGCTCGCAAACTACATGTTCTAGGTGATGTCTCCAACTTCGGAACCCTATTCCATAACTCGCGTCCGTCTTCATAGCTCTCCCAAGCGGTCTCCCCCTTAATCTGATCTCCGAGATATTACTTCTGAAAGTCTTATATCCAAATTCCTTATCTAAGATGGAGTCAATGCGGCACTATTTGGCGGTGCATACAAGTTTTAATTACTCAAATTGCACACGCCTACTAGCGTTATATAATTACATGTAAAACCATAAAAAGAGTCAAGTGCACAAGCAACTCTATTAAAATTAATTTAGAAGTCTGGGGGTTATTTACGTGAACTAAACAGCACATTTTCGCACGCTTGCACGAAAGTTTACACACATGCATGCAACCAATCCATATATACACCCATTTATTTATTTACTTATGGTATGTGTTTGCTGAATATATAAAAATTAGTTCAAAAACGCCATCCGATCAGCATGATTTCAATCATTATGTATCTTTTATCATCTTTTATTTCTGGGCGAGTAGATGTGCTTAAGTATAATTGTTTTTTTTCTGGTACAGCGATAGTGAAAGGAGCGGTTTTGTACGGTCACAACCCAACAGTGATTCAGCGGCGAGTGTCCTCAATGACGTACGGTATCGAGTGTGTTGCAGACTTTACAGATGGGGTTCATCCTGATGAATTTAAAATAAATATAGGTAGGCCCCTACCGTTCGTATATGTGTGTGTGTGTGTGTGTGTGTGTGTGTGTGTGTGTTTGAGAGAGAGAGAGAGAGAGAGAGAGAGAGAGAGAGAGAGAGATTATTTATACGTCAGGTGGAAGGAGTGAAAAGAAAAATATTTTTACCAATGTCATTATTCGAATGAGTAGCGCCCGCTTTAAAATCTATGGGGGCGTCTCGATAGTCCGAAGGTTCATTGGTCCGAAAAGTGGTAACATTTTCATCGATTTTTTAATCAAGGGTTCATTGGTCCGAAGGTTCTATAGTGAACATTCGGACCAATGAACCTTCGGACTATTGAACCTTCGGACTATCGCTACGGCCCCAAAATCTATAGGCCTATATTTAAAAAAGCTTTTCCTTTCTTTGTGAAATGATATTTATTTTTGGTTTATTCATTCATTTCTAGCTGGCAGGGATAAATGTAAGAACGTCTTCAAAACCTTTGTGGAAGCTGGTTCCTCAGTTCAGATAGGAGAGAACGTTACGCATAGATTCAAAGCTGTTGTCCCATTTAAGCACACAATGCAGCTTCCGGTTTACGTTAGTTCCTCTAAAGATGCCAAGTACACAACGGACCCGGACACCACACCATTGGGGAAAATTTCAGTAAGTGTACCTGGCCAAAATGACCCGGGCAAGGAAAGACTGGTTGAAGTTCGCATGGGCTTTGGAGATACAGAAATCCACGTGACTGCCGTGGATCTAACGACCGGAAATGCGTCACTTCCGGTGAACATCAACTTCCTCGCAAAATGACACTAAAATGCAGCAGACGTGTATTCATAAAAAATACCCCAATAAAAGCACATCAAGCAAACCGCGGCCCAATAAACCCCCATAGAACTCGTATGAACACATTTTTTTGCGTTCACTCAAGAAAGGTCATCAAGGGCCAGTCGCTCTTCCTGTTAAGCATGTGCAGATTTTTCTGATTATGATTATATATTCTGATTATGACATGATCATCGATGCGGGAACTTCAGAGCCGTTCATGCGATATGAAATAATGTATTTACTTTGAAAAGGAAACATTTCGATAATGAAAATATATCCATATCTTGTGAAAAATGAAATCGTCACCACGCGGTACCGGTAGGACATGCGACAAGAAGGTTGGTGGGTTTGACTTGTTCCTATTCATTTTTACTGAAACTCGATATGTACACCTTGTCAAATACTCCCAGAAAATAAAAGAGCGTCTACTTGGTGCGCAGGCGCTCCAAATGTAGACACCCGGTCTTGACTGCCACGGAACCCAAGCCCCGAGGTGGGTTTATAAGGACCTTGGTTATGAGTAGGCCTATGTAGTGATCTCACATAATAAAAAATATCCGCGACAGAATCGCAATTAGGCGTATACCACAGTTGAATGTGTAAGTGGTTAACGCGGTTATTATTACAACCTTAACGATAGGTCATCCCATAAATTGTTGAGGGAACGAAATGAGGAAATGTGAAATTTTCTCGACTGGGCGTCGTACAAAAGGTGAATGAGTAATGCTAGTCGTATTTATAACAGCGTTATGTGAACATATTTTGTTATTGACTTTACGCGGAACACATCACATGCACAAAGAAACGTTTTGGGCTGATCCCAAGTATTGTTACATAAAATAATAATAAGCACACGTAAAAAATAAGTAAGTACATGTACAAGCGAAAGGTAGATCCAGAAAAACATTTTGTGTATGGTTCCACTTTCTAAAATAATGTTACGTGGCAGTATCCTCTATTCTGTAATAAGGCCGGCATTCTGACATCTAAAAGATGCAATGACCTTATATTTCCTTTAATATGTCTGATTGTTAAGAACACTCATATATTTATGAATAGTCCACCGCAGCTATATCAGCACAACATATAGACTATGTTAGAAGTGGTGGTAAAGTATTTATTGTGAACAGCGGCACAGTAATTTGTTGAACTTAAGCCTTTTTAATTCACTTTAGCTAAAACTTTTCTCATCATGTTGCATTTCTCCTTGAAATGTGATTTCTAAAATCAGTTACAGTCTCAGTTTATGACAGTCAGTGTGTCGCGTTGTATGGTTGGTGAGGTTTTAAGTTAAAAGTTTTTGCCGCATTATTTCAATGGCGGCTTTCTCTCTGAGTCGAGCCCGGAAGTAGACAGCGTATATGGCAATGGTTCCAATGAGCACGGTTCCAATTATGCACCCAAGAATGATTTGGTGCATTATAGCCGCATCCAGTTTTGCTTTAAGTTCTGTGGATGAAAAAAACGAATGGTACAGGTAGAAATTGGACATAATAGAGGTAAATGTAAAACAGAGTAGAAAAATGGAAATAAAAATGCGATTTAGAACGTCCGAATTCTGTTTGTTTGTCTTCAAATACTTCGTTAACAGAAACCTGATCAACTTGATATTTAACAGCCTGCATTCGTCGTCAACTTAAAACTGAGTTATCTTTCAGCTTATGAGTTTTTTCCACTCTAGATAATATGTGGATGAGAGAGATAAAAAAGAGAATAGAAACTTAGCAAAATGTCTCAAGGCAAAACAAACCTGGGCTTATACTCTCTAGAGCCGTTTGTTTCCCGTCAAACCAGTCGGTTGGCACGTGTTGTATCCTAGCAGTGGCCGCAGTGGCCGCAGTGGCCGGAGCATTCGTGACTGGTCCTCCTGGGTTCCCAGGTGGGCTGGGTTGTCCTCCAGGGCGCATTTGCACCATTGTCATGGTATCACCCTTCTGTCCTTTCTGTCCAATTGCACTCATCCCCTTCATTCCTTTCATCCCCTTCATCCCCGTCATGCCCATTTCTCCCATTGCACCAAAATTCCCTACATTTCCCATTACGCCCTTCTGGCCCTTTTGACCTTTGACGTCACCGGGCGGGCCGACCATACCTTTCACACCTGCAAATAGTTATATAACTCCGATTTTCTAAAATGAAGACCTTTAATACCATGTGACTTTCTCTGACCAGGACATTCGCCTTACGTTATAGAAAGTATCTGAATAGCTGCCGCTTAGCCTGTGAGTAACGTACATTCTTACTGATCTTACTGGTTGTACATCTATATGGTTGTGACGGACTTTTGAAATTAAAATATGAGTTTAAGGAATATGGCGTGTTGAAGTGAGGATGTACTTGTAAACAATGCTTAATCATAGGAAATTGAGAAAAAAATATAAATATTGAACAATTTTAATGTTTCCTCTTATTTCACATTCCAGGTAAAACCGACTGAATAACTGTACGAGGGTGTGGGTAGGAACTGGGAGGGGTGAGAAGTTCTGTTCACAAAATTGACGACAAAAACTGTTCAGTCTGATGATTTTATTTATAGCTTTTACCTTTGGGTCCTGCTGTCCCTGGTGGGCCACCGGTGCTTATTCCCTGTGGGCCTCCGGTTCCTGGGGGACCGCCTGTCCCTGGTGGTCCTCCTGTGCCTGGTGGCCCTCCTGTTGATGGTGGTCCTCCTGTACCTGGGGGTCCTCCTGTCCCAGGTGGCCCGCCTGTCCCTGGTGGTCCTCCTGTCCCAGGTGGTCCACCAGTTCCAGGTGGTCCTCCCGTTCCAGGTGGACCTCCCGTTCCTGGTGGCCCGGCTGTTGCTGGTGGTCCGCCTGTTGATGGAGGCCCGCCTGTACCTGGTGGACCTCCAGTCCCAGGAGGTCCGCCTGTCCCCGGCGGTCCCCCTGTACCTGGAGGTCCTCCAGTTCCCGGTGGTCCTCCAGTTCCTGGTGGCCCTCCTGTCCCAGGCGGTCCACCTGTTGATGGTGGTCCTCCTGTTCCTGGTGGACCACCTGTTCCTGGAGGCCCTCCTGTACCAGGTGGACCTCCTGTACCCGGTGGTCCACCTGTTCCTGGTGGCCCTCCTGTACCGGGTGGTCCACCTGTTCCTGGTGGCCCTCCTGTACCGGGTGGTCCACCTGTTCCTGGTGGCCCTCCTGTGCTTGGCGGCCCTCCTGTCCCTGGTGGCCCTCCTGTCCCTGGTGGCCCTCCTGTACCTGGTGGCCCCCCTGTGCCTGATGGCCCTCCTGTTCCTGGTGGCCCTCCTGTACCAGGTGGTCCACCTGTTCCTGGTGGTCCTCCTGTAGCAGGTGGTCCTCCTGTTCCTGGCGGCCCTCCTGTTCCTGGCGGTCCCCCTGTTCCTGGTGGCCCTCCTGTCCCTGGTGGCCCACCTGTTCCTTGTGGTCCACTTGTCCCTGGTGGTCCTCCAGTACCTTGTGGTCCTCCTGTACCTGGTGGTCCTCCTGTACCTGCTCCTGTTCCTGTTAGTGGCGAAATACAGTAATCAGTTTGTGACGCGCAATGGCTTGTACCTTACAAGATATGCTTCTAAATATTTCAACTTAATCACACATATCACAGAGATTATTTTTATGGACCGGAAAAACGTATTCGGAAATATAGGTTTTATTTTTCCTGTTGACCTAGCGCTTGGCATCGGCATGAAATTTTTGCTTGTTAACACACTATAAGGAAACATTCAGTATTCATGAATGCATTGTTCCTTATTTTACAGGCATTATTTAAAGAGTTCAAATACAGTGCAGTGTCGTACACCTAGACTAAACCTTATAATTAAAAAAGTCGACGAAATGGCAAATTTCAAATTTTTAATGGACTACGTAGAAAAATTATGATAGCTAAAACTCAAATTTTGCACGTACATGTAGATGCAATGTAATATTAAGGACTGATTTACAAAATTTCAATGTAAACTAGATTTTGAAGTAGAACGCTTCACATTTGGCGCAAACCATAATATTAACGTCTTCAAGATCTCGGCAATAACCGGAGGTACGCCGTGACGCCATTCAAAAGTATTTGAGAAGCTGCCGGATGATTAGATTTTAATTACGCATGTTGCGTCAGTCTAGACTGAGTACCAAATATTCATGAGAAGCCAGGGGTGGGAGTTATAGCGCATGCGTGACGGGATTGATAGAGAAAATATACTCAAACAAAGCCTGTGCAATACCGTATTTTACTGACATATATTTAATGGGTGGATGTTGCATTTCAGGCCCGTAGCCAGCAATTCCAGAGAGAGGGTTCGTTTTCTGAAAAAGTGGACCTTTTACCATGAAAAAGTACATCGATCAAATTTTACCCAGAGTGGACCTTTTCCCAGCAAAAAGGGTGGATCTTTCGAACCCCCGAAGCCCCTCTGCCTACGGGCCTGTATTTACAGATCACTACCAAAATGTAATCACTTTTAAGTTTGCGGCCTATCCTGAAAAATTCACCACAAACCACTTATTACTTACAGGAGTGATTGAGTGGACTGGGCCATACCACGACTTGTGTTTGAAACCTAGCCTAAGTGACTTATTTGCTTGAAATTGTTAAATTTTTTATAGTCTTTCGTTAAGCCTGTTCTAGTAACATATACTGTAGCCCACAATAACGGCAGACATAAGTACGCTGAGTATATTGATAATCCTAGCATTTTGTCTCTTTTACAAATCAAATTGTTGGCTTTCTTCGTCCCAAATGTGCCCATGAAATGCAGCACATGTGCTGAGTTTACTTATTCCCCGATTTTAGTGTGCACCAAAAGGCTCACCAAATTGGTGCAAAAATAATCTTGCAACTGTCTTATATTCCATGGGTATATTTGGGACGAACAAAGTATGCAAAAGAGACAAAACATCAGAATTATCAACCTACTCAACATTGCTGCACTTTGGGAGTTGAACCCCCATGGATACATAGATACACACTGAAGATAGACAGTCTTCTTACCTTCACATACATCTTGTACAAAAGTAATTACGAGAATTACTTTAAGGCAGAGTAGCTGCATCCTGCTTTGTATCTGCTTCGAGCCTGCTTACGTTAAGAACATGGAGGTGTCTCCTTCAGCTGCAATTAAGCAAAATACCGCCGTATATTTGGGAAAAAACATTGCAAAACAAACCACCCATCATAGGCAAAATACAGCAGACCTCTGGTTGGATATAAACTTTTAAAAGGCATTGGAAACGGGCCTATTTAGCATAATTAAATCATCTCATAAAGTCTTTTTCATGCATATGAAACATCAGTTTTAGTCCGGATACACAGTTTATAAACGCCTTTTTAAACAAAAAAGCAATGTTTCTTGTTTACTGACGTGGAGCTTTGAGCTCAATGTAGAAATTTAAGTGAATTGACACCAGACGTATTTGAAATTCAAAATTCATGATATTAGATAGAATAAAGGCATACCAGTATATGATCATAGATATACTACGGTAAGAAAAAGTTTACCAATTACTTTACCTTTTTTGCCAGAACGACTATTTGCCGTTTCCTCAACTTGGAGCAATAGCCACTCTTTGTCTATATGCTACCTGTTGTAGTCTGGCTGCTTCAATAAAAGCTGTTTATGCACTTATGAAAAGGGAATAAAATCAAACGAATATTCTCCCGTTGTCACCATACCCTTTGGCTATGTGTGGTACATTTCGCGCTGCTCGCCGTGGGCAAAACTGTAGGGGATCTGTATACTGGTAGTGTGGTCGGAAATTTGGTTTAACTTATAAACATGCCTTTTTATGTATTTCAGCTTGATTGGTTTTCATTTTTATGTTGTTTTGTGCTGGAAAATTTAATACCGGTGAAAATTTTACCTTAGCGCCAGTTGTTTCATTTTCAGGCGTATGACACAAAATCTGAAGCTATGCAAGCTCTTTTAACTACCATGTATGCAAAAGCGATTTTATGAGTCTACACCCCTCTGGGGCTCAGTCGAGGTACCTTCAGGCCATGGAAGTTGCTTGTGATAAAGCAAACCCGTTACTCCTTTAGCAATGTATTTCATGATTCCATTGTGTGCTAATGTGGAAATGAAAACCAACACGATATGCAGTGAAATACTGTAATTACTCAATCTTTTCAATGGGGGAAAATTGTGAATTTTACAGATACTGTAATTGTAAGTTATAATTTCTTAAAAAATTAAGTAATAGCAACAAAATGAAAAAAAAAATGCTGCTTTACTGGTATATCTTTATTCTATGCAATTAGATTAAATGCACAAAAAATGCTATAGAAATATTGACCATTTAAAAGTCGAGTATATTACGGTAATTCAAATCTAGCCCATCCCACTAACATTAATTTGGTCCATTTACATTTTGAATCCACTGCGTTAAAAAATATTACAGTACTAACATACAATATATAATTCTGCAATCCCCTCATTTTCCTTTTGTGTATTGTACACTAAAAGGTTAACCCATATTAATTTTACAGCTAGGTTCTAAAGGGTGGCACACGGTACATATGGCATTGTGTTATCATAAAATGGAAAAGGTTTGTCATGCAATATGAAACTTTGAAGGTAGCGTGTTTTGCTTGCTTATATTTTGATTTATATACATCTGAAAGTACAGGAAAAGTTGATTGAGTTTAAAAACGCGCTATAAATGGAAAGATAAATTCCAGCAATATTTAAAGGTGGTGTATCAAGCCTTCAAAGGCTTCCCTTTTCAGCAGCGAAGCGCTTGCAGTATTATTTCCAAATGGATTGCGGGAACACTATAATAATACAATGAGCAGAATAAGCCCGACACGGATAAGGTATTTAATTATGCATTTATGGAAGTGTCAAGCTTCCGAGGCTCAAGTGATAAAATGTTGTCTGTTTGTTGATTTTATGAGCCACTTATTTTTATTTACTTTCTTTTTTGTATTGTTTTATCCGTTGTAGTTTGCGTAGCTGATTTTCTTTGGGAGCGTTCAGATAAACCCATCTCACCAGCTGAATCTATCCAACTCTACTGGAGACTCTCCTAAAGTGTGATAACTGTAATTATTTGGCTTAAATTTCTTACACGTCTCCTCTAGCTGCTAGATGGTAATTAACTAATTAACTAGCTACTCAAGGAGGCGTGTCAAACAATTAAGCTGATAACACTGAATACACTCAGCGAAAATCCTCCTGCTGAGTTGGATCGATCCAGCTGGTATGTTGTTTGAATCTGAACGCGGCTTTTGTCTCCTTCTGTCTGCCTGTCAGATATTGAAATAAAAGAGAAGCATATCCCAAGTTAATTTATTTTTGTATAAAGAAAATGATGCTATAATAAAGCATAGTGTCTGTCAGTTTTATCTTTTTTTCCTGGGAAAAATTCATCCATTTTTAGATAGCCTGGGAATACAATTGGTTTGAGAGTCGCTGTGATTCACGCAGGCTTGAGAGCCGTTTTCGAACGTGGCAGATTGAATGCAGCAGACACAATTGTCACAACTAGCGCATTCCTCAGCAAATCGTATTTTCATCCACCTTTTTTTTTTTTACTGTGATTGTCATCATGGCAGATCAGTTGCCCCATATGTTTACATTCGTCACATAGTACGAGGCAGCGCCGGGGACCAGTTTTTCAAGATGTATTTCGTTCAGGTTCACTCCCCACCCACGCTTCGATTTGCCCCCGTTTATTGCAGCGCTATAAGAGAGGCCTGTGAATGAACGAAAGTCGTGATGGGGGCTTAGGTATGACGCTGTTCAAGGTCACAATTTATTTTATATCGCTGTCGCTGCAGTTAACGCAATGGTAGGCACCTGCTGAGAGAAGGACTTGACCTGGCTTTGTAAGTGTAGAGGGACGACTGGTCACACCAAAAGGAGAGGGCCCCGGGAAGAGCGCGCAACACCTAAAGTCGTCGGGTATCAAAGCACAGGTACGCTATTTTGCTAACAGTACAGCACTGATAGTATTTACTTTGTGACAATTCTTTTTAAATTAACCTCACTAGAATAGTCATTTGTCACATGTCATCAAGCTACACGACCCTATTATTTATTTCCTGGGGTCGCTGTGACACTCTCTCATTGTTATTGGTGTGCGGAGGAGTGCTGGACCTTCTGGTTAGAAAACAGGTTGCTTGACAACGATGTCACCGTCTCGTCATTGAGAAGAGACGCAGGTGTCGTTGCTTAACGAGTGATGGAATAACTGCCCATGTACGACTACTTATAAGTTAATTGTCAACATTTACACAATGGTCTTTAAACACAATAACTCTGATGAAACGCTTTTTTAAAATTTAATTTACTGTGTTATTTATCATAAATAGAAAAACCTGCTCGTTGCATATCTGGCTTCAGTGGCGACTTCGTGTATTCAAAGGTAAAGGGAAGTGAGGCAATTAAATGTGTAATATATAGAGGTTAAGATAATTAATGTGACTCAACTAGCACTAGCAGTTCTTCCACAGGTACATGTATTTAGCGCTGTCACCCACTCTTCCCACAGGTCAAACTGCGAATATTTTCTTTACTGTCAATTAACATTTTCTCTCCCCGGTAGCAGTGACATTTCACAAAGTGAGGAAGCAAAAACCCGCTTTCGAAACAAAGGCCGTTTGATACGCAATGTGTGCCCATGCAGCCGTTGGACAACACATCTTGTCGCCAGTAACCTACATTCTTTTGATATGACGTTAGTCACCGCAACGTTCAACTCCACTTACACCTTACAAAGTGGGAGCCGCATTCAGTTGGCTGTAAATGTCGCGCCGAATAACAACACGGAAAACCAGTTTTACTCGAAACAATGTAAAGCGTACCACGGTTTGTTTGTACGGGACTGAGTTGGGTGCACGCGGGCGAGTGGAGTGAGAGGAAACGCCTACTTCGAGGTAATGAGGCTTACCTTATTAAATATCAAACATGTCATCGATCAAATGTAATAATAATTGAACCCCGTGCACTGTCATAAGACTCCTGGCTGCACCTTAATACACCTGCTTAAAGCCGAGCCTTGGTGCCGGTCTGAGAAATGAATGATAAGGTATCAAAGAGTAACTGAAGTCTTACGGAGTCTTGCGATAGCAGTCTACAACTTAATTTCCCAGGTCTAAGTCTTAATCACATCGCACAGGCTCGGGAGAGTGACATTTAATTAATAGTGCAGTTGTCAGGATGTGTTATGGTATGCGTTGAAGACCCATTCACTTGCTGCAGACTACAGGCTATGCCGGTAGTAGTCTACATTTTATAATAGAAATAGTGTGGTTCAATCCAAGACCGGACTGTTTGCGTATAGATCACGGGATTTATTGCATAACTTCATACTGAGACCTGTCTTTAACTTGGAAAAACATTATGACTGCTAATCGGGTCTAGACTGGGAACAACAGATATAAAGGTGATTTTATGCGTGAGCGCGAGCGCATACAGGTACATGAACGTTTGTACGTAGCTATGCTTTGTATCTTAATTCAGATGGGCAAAGACATAATAGCTTATTGAATTGAGGATTTTGAGTATATATTACGTTGGTGAGCACCGCTAATATACTGTAGTAAAGTATGTAAATAAATGAATGTCATGATCGCATGAATGGAAGCATGGGAACTTGTCAAGGGGTGAGATAGGGTTTACAATGTGTGAAGGTGCACTTTAAAATAAGAAGAAGTAGAATCAGATGATCAACTCTGAACCCCATGGTGGTGTTGCTTTAGAGTAAAACCAGCTATAGTGATATCTTTAAATGACCATTTTGGAAGGTGGTGACCCGGATATTAATTGTGCACTCATATGACAGCAGAACGCACAGTATAAGACATACAGGCGTATCTGAGCAAGGTTTTAACGACGGTTACTCTCTAGAAGGTTATCAATCAGAAGAGGGCAGGATATTTTATGATTTGACATTCATGGGGACAGACAGAGACGAGCACTTAGCACAGCTGGTTATAATATTCAAGTCACTGTGTAAGTTCCTTACGTGCATTCGGTCCCAACCACCTGGTGACACAATTATGCTTAACTCCGGCTTCCTATAGTTATGCAGGGTCAGTACACAAACCAGGGTCAAATTCTGTGAAAATTACTTTTTCTTGGTCTTGAACAATATTAATAGGACCGTCAATCATGCATTATTTGCATGAAAGTCGTAAAAGTGGAGGCACCTATTTGACGCTATGCATACATGACTTAAAACCCCTTAATGGTAGCTCCATGCTCACAGGTACATAGAGATGAACTTAAGTTCCATTCCCAATGGAAACTACCGTTCCACATGGATCGATCCGACTCTGCAGGGACTCTAGGTGAATGCAATCAGATTAACAGGTTAACACGCCTCATCTTGTTTCCAACGTACTTGTTTATATTTAATGTACGCAGTCGGTCAAATCCTATTTATAATCTACTGTACATGTGTAACACTGTATCGCCTAGACAGTAATAGGAAATACACTAACTAACTACATGTACTCGTATAACCACCAGCTTTTTTTGGATTCTACTCAACTCCAGGAGGAGGCATGCTAATCTATTATAAATAACCTAATTGCATTCAGCCAGAGTCCCCGCTGAAATGAATCACTCTACACAGAACAATAGTTTCATTGGGAACGAGGTCTTTGTCTCAGTAAATCGTGTACGTCTAATATCTACATCCGGCAGTAGCTCTTCGTCCCCGTATGTTTATCCCTGTATTAGGTTTTATTATTGTGTTCCTTTTTTTGGGGATGCTTTGATATGTACCCAGAAAACCTTTTTTGTGTGTGTGAACACGGCTGATAATGCCTTAACCCGACTTTACTTTACTTCACAGAGATATAATGTATTTCATATACATTTGCCCGCATTCCTCAATAGCATCACTGCAGAATATATATATTTTATATGACCTGCATATAACATTACAGGTTTTTCTTCCTGACAGCGTCATGCAAGATTAACACTGTGACAATATGGAGTGTGTCCTGTTTTATTTTCAATTAGTGAAACATCAGCTGGTTTTTTCCTTTAATACAAGGGCCACATTTTATTATAAAAATATATTTTCCAATGATATTGTAACTAAGAGACCTACTCTGATTAAATGACAATGGTTTATATTGATACTCGTATAATAAGAAATACAATATATGGATTTTTCATATATGTATTTCCTTCTTAATATTGTTCGATTTTGGTAAAAAAAAAACATCGTAACAATTGAAGTATGGATGTGTTTTCAGTGTTTTATTCGAATATGGCATATTGTAAATATCATTGTGGTGTATCGGTAGTAATACATCTGGCCCCAAACGCAGTTGTCACTGCATGTAACAATGCATGTTAATGTATTTGATAACCGCCTCACTCAATCAGTTGTCAAACTGAAAACCTACTGACATGCTTCATATGAATCAAAGAACCGAGAGAAAGACCTCGTCAATGGATATGTTTTGTCCAATTTTTGCTTGCGAGGTCAATCAGGGTTAATTTAATCATTTCTGATTCGAGTGTATTTTTTCCCTGTAGCATTGAGTTGGGGAAACGACTCACATGAGTTCGAGGTGACCGCATCTACACGTATCTGTGTGTGTGTGTTCTTTTACATTTCAAACCAGGCCCGTAGCTAGCTTTTGCAGAAGTGGGTTCTTTTACTGAAAAAGTGGACCTTTTTTCATGAAACCTTAGTTTACGTAGATCAAATTTACCCAGAGTGGACCTTTTTCCAACAAAAAGGGGGGTCCTTTCGAACCCCCTGGCTACGGGACTACAGACGCACTTGCTACATGTATACGGGTACTAGTTGTCGTTTTGGATGCTTAATTTACTGTCCTTCATAGTGCTTTATCTTGTGTACACAAAAATAAAACGTATTCACTCTGGTATTGTTCCTTTTACATAGTCGGCGATAGAGGGGCTATTAATCAGCAGTGGCTATTCTTTTCTGAATCGAGGTCTGTGAATTGGTTTGTTTATACGTAAGAGAAAGATTGCTCAAGCTTTACAGGTGAATTAAATGAAGGCGGGGTTCTAAAATGCCCAATTAAATGTCCGGTACTTTATTTCACTAAAAACTTAATAGTGCATCATAAATTATTGGCCTACACATTACAGTGAGGTTAAAGAAGCACAACACTTCTCATGTATGGCCGGATTTGTAATGCAAATGGCCATTTAACCTTTCTGCAAGGCGAGAGGTGGTGATCTCAAATTAATTTTAGATGTCACCCGAAACATTGAAACATTTTTGTAATGGGCAACATCATTCTACCGTATGCAAGCACCAGACAAAATGCGTTAGGCACCTTCAACTGTACAATGTGAAAAGTTGATGTATTCCCGTTAGCTATTTTATGGGTGTAAATATGTATCTAGCCAGCCCTAGAAAAACTGAACCATTGTCCACTATTACTTGTGAAGTAACTGTAAAAAAAGCATCACGTCAAAAACACTTAAGTACAGAATTCCACCGATTTTAATACTCATTTTCAGAGAGAGAGAGAGAGAGAGAGAGAGATAGAGAGAGAGAGAGAGAGAGAAAGGGAGAGAGAGAGAGAGGCTAAGTCATGTTATTTGCCATTCCTATAGCATTCCCAATAACCTGGGGTACATGTGCTTCTGAGGCCTCCAGGGAAGTTGTGTTCGATTTGTATGCCAGAACTAGATGTATATGTTTGGGGGTTTGCCAGTACTTTAATTATATGCACTTACATGAACCAAGCATCACTGTCATGTCTGTATCAGGGTGCACTGTCCTTTCTTTTGTCTTTCACGTTAAAAGGTTCACGACAAGATAATCACCTCATCTGTTTTTAGAACGATTAAGAAACTAATATACTTAAAAATATTTTTTGCCAAAAAACAAACTTGCTCTTGCTTTTATATCAAATCAAAAGGTTTTATGGTATTATATACTCTAAGGGCGTGTTTTGCATAGCAATTGGGATTACTTATTTAATCTGGATAATACAGCTTAGGTGTCATTTCTTGGTATATTTATAACAACGTTGGTGGCCTTTGTCTGCAATAATGACTCACTGAAGGAAATGGAATACAGCATAGGTTTTGGGTCTCCGGTCACCTGGCATCTATGTTAAAAAAGACAACCTCCACAAGCACACAAGCGCGGGCACTCGCACGCACGCAAACACGCACACACACACACACACACTGCTGGCCTCCATCCAAAATAATAATAATAACAATTATCAGCCACCGAGGGCCGGAGCTTCGCAGACTTTCAAATATGTCAGGTGATAATCAGCGCGCCTAGCTCAGGGTAGAGATGAGACATCGAATGCCAATATGAAGGAAATGCACACATGTGACAATATCATACAAGCTGTCACTATATGCTATGATAGGTGTTATAGAACGCCGCGTGAACTATCTTGTTTCACCTAGGCATTGTTATCACATGGCGTTTTTTTATTCGGGAGGAGGATGCAAATTCCTTTGATCCATTTTGAGGCCATATTTTGGTCTGGTTTAGTTTCTTTCACTGGTCATCTATAGGTGATCTCTAGTTTAATTCTGTTCCATTCTAAGACCCGTTAAAACATCTTAGTTTTTGCAATAATTAATACTGGAACAATTCGCTCGGATACGCACATAGACTGTATTTATTCGATGTTAGATGGCGAAATTCAAATCCCAAGCTGACATTTTTTTCACGTCTACCGGTATTCGTCCTACCAAAAGACACAAGGACGGGGGCGTTCACTGATGATAAACACCCAAATACCGAAGTCACTGTAATGTTACCCTTCCGTGTTTCCGTAGTAGTTGTGCAACATGACATGAATATAAATCGAGCAATCATTACAATTTAAGTCAAGCTTATCTTTCGTAAAGCCGACCTTAAATGAACCCTGCTTGAAAATAAGATGACGGGGTTGGGATGTATAGGCCTATAAAGCCCGTATCCCTCGCACCGATGTCATTTTACGCCTCCTACGCATGTCCGAATTATAAACCAGTTGCTCTTATCAAATGTCTTTCAAATATTGATTGATAAACTGCGATTCGTCCTACGACAAAACGGTGCGTGGGTTAATTGGTAAATGTTTCGCAGTAAAGCAAACTTTTCTGATAGATTTAACGGACAGTAAAAAAAGTTGAAAAATAAGACGTCCCGCACGAATTCAAAGTTATTGTTGTAAAGGAGTAGCGTTGTACGAAGTAATAATATATGTACCAGTAGTAGTAGGAGGAATTAATTTTATGTTGAAAAACAATTAGTGTGGTTTAAAGAGAGAAAAATAGAGATTCTACATGTAATAAGAGTGTCAAATTCTCACACTTGCAAGTCTTTTATCATTTCAATGTGTTAAGTTTTGTGGAAAATTCTAAACACCAGCATATAGGAAAGCTCGTGGAAATATATTTATATATACCATGTATACCAGTACTTAACCTTGTTTAAATCAGACTCGGCAATATTTCCCTGTGCAGTTCAATGTGTCATTTACTATATTATAAGTAGCGGAGGTTTTTCTAAAGGTGTTGGAAGGTGAGGGTGTTAGCTTTCCTCCTCTGACATCTTTTCTGAAATGACACCTATATTCAGCATGCTTCGGTGAGCTACTCGTATAAAGTCTGTTTACGTATCAAGCTCGATCTTTCAATTATGCCATTTATGGCGTAAGGTTATAAAAAAGACATGAAAACGCATAATAAATCATCATCATTTCTGTCAAAAGTAAAGTATCATTTTTAAAAACATGTCTTGAATAAAACCGAAATACCGCGCTAATATTAAGTGTCTTTAACCTGGTGTGTCTCGTGGAAGAGATAAGAGCGTTCTTAAAAAGCATAAATCAAAACCTGACAACCTCGAAAACAACTCAATCTTGTTTAAAACCACAATTATATTATTTCAGTGTAAATAATTTAAAAAAAAAACTATTGCAAAATTGCATACTTATGTAAAGAATATATTAAAATACCCTGAAACTAGGACCCCAGTGCCCTGCAGAGCAAGCAAATCCATAATAACAGAAAAATCATGGTCACGACTGTATGCAAAGGAAACGACATGAGTGACACCTTTCGTAAACTTCTCAAACGAACGCGACAGCCTAATACATCTCTATCAGCAACTTTACAAAAAGACCAGCCAACAACAAACTCGGCACCTGTAAGTGGTGTTATGGAGATAAAAAAATCTGTATCAGCGATAAATTTCCACAGTAGTGAGTAATGTTTTCTTAATCGAAAACATAGACTTTGACTCAACTGCGTGATGCACTATTAATCAAATTAAGAAAATGGATAAGTGAAAGTGGCCTACGCAATGTTTTATAGCTTTAACTTGTGACTGAACACTTTTTGATTTAGAGTGTGTTAAATCTCCTTTCACCTCTTTGCATTATATGTCTTATATCAACCAAAAATGTTCATATCGTCCTGTCATTATTTAATGAATATTAAATTATGCAGAAGTTTCGTTCTGTACATTTTCTGTTAGAAAATCGTGTCTCTCGGAAAGGCGTGTTTGAATCGGTTTGGTATCTTTTGTTAATTATATAAACACACGAGAATCTTTTAAACAGTTCACAAAAAGGTAAGAAAATATGGTGCGGTGTTATTAATGCGATTTATATCGAACGGTCCCTGTGAACCAGCTGTTCCCTTGTAGGTAGGCGTGATAATGGAGATAAAAAGATGTGTAAGAGAGAGAGAGAGAGATTCATTAGTTGCTGCTTAATTTAATCAAGTAAATGAGTGAATGTTTTTGGCCATCCGGTAGAATTTGAATCAGGAATATGTATCAATCGAATTTTGAAACTTACGTGGTGAAATTCAACGATTAACCTACGTTGCGGTCTCACCCTGAGGCCTTTAACATGGTAAGGAGCTGGATGTCACCTTGTTTAGTGTCATACGGGTACTGTACGGAAAAGTTTAATCTCTCCAACACCGGGGACTGGGCGCTGGTGACCTTATGACACTAAATAAGGTGACCGGTCCATCCAGGTCATTACCAAGTAACGAGTCTTGATTGAGGCTGCAACGCCCGTTAGTCGATAAAGCTTACCATGTACATTTAAGTTCCAGAATAAGATTGATATACATTTCCTGATAATCAAGTAAACATATTACTGAAGACATAGTCATTTTCATCAGAATCTAATACCACACTCATGTATCGGCCTTCAAATGAATTTCAGCTTGAAAGTGGTCAATTTACCTATTTATAATACATAAAATATTGTCCAAACTTTATTGCTACTCAATTGGTCATAAACTGGAAATTGGCATATCATCATGTCCACATCCCTCACTTTAAAACCACATAAACTGTAGTGCCCGCGCTGAGTGAGGTCTGCCAAAGTGGGCTCATACTAATGTGCCTTGAAATATGTCAATATATCATTCTTTTGCATTTGTATGTTGCTCAACATTTGTATTTGTATAACGCTGGGGAAGACATGGGGTGTGTCAATGTAAAAGTATAGTAGTTTCGACATGTAAAACGTTATGAATGATATACTGTATCTTTTCGTTTCAATTAAGTACGGAGTGAATTAATCTCTGTCTCTGTCTGTCTCTCTCTCTCTCTCATGCATAAAAGCACATCCAGTTTATTTAAAAGACATACCGCCATACATGTATGCTCCATCATGTTATAATTATTTTTATTATAACTGTTATTATTATTATTGGTTTTTGGCTGGCGGCGTAGTTTACTTCATATTTCTAAATAATATGTATTCCTGTTCTGGGGATAAATAAATGCCTACATATATTTGTGTCTAAAGGGGATGGGGTAGTCCAGTAATGAAAAAAGAAAAAAAAACGCCGGGCTCCATATATTTTCTGCCAAAAAGCTCTGTACGGATTGATAATTGCCTTCTCCCTTTTTTTATTTATCAGGGGCTCATGTGCGAACACCGATCCGAGTCATTACTACTGAAGCAATTCTCTGCCAGCTGCTTCTAGACGTATAAATAACGTTGCATAATTCACTCGTTGGCCAGAGGTTAAAAAACATCCAGGCTCCACGACGAAATGCCGAAGATTGCCGAGGAGCAGTCCCGATCGGGCGAGTCTGGACAGGTAAGCAACTCGAGCTGGCAATTTTACTATTCTTATTGTGTTACAATTTCGTGTTGTTGATGCATCTTATACGAGAAACATAGGTGGAAAGGACAGCGTGTAATTTTCGGATTATCTGCGCCGATAGGTAAAAGAATTGCTTGCTTGCTTGTTTAAATCTCGTGCCGTTTTTCAGTCGGCCGGACGGTCGATTGGGTAGGCAGACAATCTTTCTGTTTGCTTCAATTGTCAGTGACGATGTTTGGCTCATAGCAGGTGTATGCGTTATACAGAAATAGTACCTACGCATTCCAATTTGATGTGACATTTAATCACAGAATGTAATCCTTAAAGCTAATATTTGACATCATTATTACTTTTTAAACTTTGAGTTCCTTATCGGCCTCTCAAAGTATTCTTAACACTCCATATACATGTCAAAGTGATATTATAGTTTCCTTGGAAGACAACGAGTCATCCCATGTTTATGTTTGAATATGATATGAAAGCAAATAGTATTTTGATTTAACACATATATTTAGAGTTCACTTTTGTACACGTACGGCACGAGCATATTCTTGCACTGTTTTTTTTTCACTTAGCCTTGAAAGATTTAATGGTAGTGCAAAGTTAATGGAAAATTGTTCTTTTGGCCTTAATTGGCTAAGCCACAGGTTGTTCCAGGTCGTGATAGGGGATTCACCTGATGGTCAATATTACAAAATGGCCCTTTGAAGACTTTTGCCCCCCTCTTCTTAAAAAAATTAAGACAGCCTACACTTAGTTAATAGAATAGAATTAATCGTTTAATCTTTTTTAACTAATAATGGAACGCGTGTACCTCCTACATCTAAACCCTTTCAGATGTTTTTAAGGTTCATGGGCTGTTTTTTATATAATGCAGCACTTTAAATCATTCTATAAACAGCAAGTTGAAACAACTAGGCATTTCACTGCACATTAAAAAGTTTTTTTTTTAATTTAAAACGCTCGTTAAGATTTCCCACTGTGGGTGACCCAGCTGACTTAAAAACCTGCTCAACCCATAACTTTTTAATGCATCCGCTTATCAAATTTGAACAACACTTAAAATATATTAGGCACACAATGTACACTTAAAAGTGTAATGTATTCTGTATATATATAGCTGTCTGAATACCGAATGAGCCGAGAGATCGGCGAAAAGTCAAACGGGAGTGATTAGTCAATGATGCATTGCTTTAAGGAGCTGCAGCTGTTTCTTTGGCGGTCTTAAAATATATGTAATTTTTCTTACATTGGTGGATAATCAACTGCTCCCGCAACTGTGGAGGATGATGCATAATAATAAATAGATACCTGGGAGTTAATCACGTGCAGGATCTATTTAGGGCAGCGCTTATGACTGCGGTTGTTTTCTCTATGTGAGAACATGTCTGCAGAGATGTATGTTTCCTTACGTCAGCCATCGGGAACTCAATATGCTCTTCTGTCCCAGAAATTGGCTCCCCGCTGCCGCTCCTGCTGCGCACTTACTTCTCCTCCAGTAGGGATGGCATTGTAGAAATTTTAAGGTATAGTTTACGGAGTGCAAACGACTGGTGATGCGTTCGTCTATGTGTATGTGTGTGTTACGTTTGTCATTAGAACAATATTTTTTGATGATTTTGTCAATCAGCTAGTCACTTCATACCACCCTACCGAAACAGCATGCAGAAATTTTTCGTCTTAGATGTATGAGATATTTCTAGTTTATATATGTAACCACACAATACGCGTCTTAATATATTATGCAGGTTGTGACAAGACGAACATGTAAAAGTGTACTAAGGTTATTATAATTTTATGATTATGCAAAACAAGATGCTTCTGGCATATGTAGCACTTAAGGAACTTGAAGCATACGTATCAGTCATGTTTACCAGCGGTATCATTTGGTTTTACCAGTTGGTTAACAACATCCAGCAGTGTTGTACAGCATGTGTGTTATGCATATTTTTTGTGACATAGATTTATTGAAATACATATTCTACGGAATCTGTGAATGCTGGAGACCTTCAGTTTTCTCTAATTATATTTGATTTATATTTATCTGTCACTTTACTTGTATTCTATGCATGAAGACAGTGTTTTTTCTTTTGCCACGGAATGGTGTTTGGTAGTTATCTATCAATTAACCCATGTGGGATTCTGCCTTCTTCAGAATAGCCCATTTCTCCTCGCTCTTGTATCCTATTTTCTCTGGCTCATCTAAAGAAAAAAGTTTATGCCGACACGACCTACTGCGTTTGTTGTATAAATTTACTCCTCCACGGGGCAATACACGCGACTTTAATCCTAAAACCTTTACAAGTATTTGTATTAGTAACTATATATGAATGGCACATGCATGCACTGGGGCTTGCCGCGGACTCATCGCAAACGAAGTTTATTTGAATACAACATTTGATAAAACATTTGCCATTGAAGAGGCCGCATTATGTACATACCAAATAGTCTAGTCATGCTTATTAGATCAGCGATAAGTGCTGTATGTTATAGCTCTCGGACATAAAGGTAATATGAACAGAAACTAAAAGCATTGGCCATACAGTTTTATGGACTTGGTGTTAACAGTCTTGATATAGCAGTGTGGTGTTTTCTTTTTAGAAAGGTGTTCGACCCACCTTAAAGGAGGGGGGCTGTGGTGTTCTTTGTACTAGACGCTTTAAACCCCCCTCCCTTAAAGGCGGGTGGAACACCTTTCTAAAAGGATGTACTACAAAACTATGGTGGGTCTAGGGAAGGGCCCTGGGTCACGGGCCCCTTCCGTTTTAGTGTTGCAAGTCCCCCTTTCTCCAGTGTTCATTTTTATAACAGCCTTTAACAAGCTAAACGAGAAAAAACCAAACAAAGTACCCATCCCTATGCCTCACATATCCTAGTTGAATTGTTCTAGTCCACTATTTTATATAAGCTCGGCAAAACTTTCCGAGTACCCCCCCCCCCAAAGTCCTGAATCTTAGGTTCCACTAGTGCAAGCACATTATCTCCGTAAGAAAGTAAGGGAAACTAGTAACGGTATTGTTGTGCCGGGAGAGCAAACTTGCTCTCAGAGTTAACGCAGATGGTATTTCCTCCTATGTTGTTCAGACGATTCACCTCATCGTAACTCGACCACTATAAGGGTGTCCTGAGAGCACCGTAAGCTATGCGCAGCCTCCTGGCGGGGGCGGATATTTTAGAGCCCACCAAATCCACATCTAATCCAATACTACGCTGTATGCTGGAAATGCCTTTAATACCTTTATGTCTTCAGGAAAAAAATGAAAAAGATATAAGTTCTGATTATGGCTTAGTCAGAACCACATCAAATGGTACTTGAGTTACAGGTAAATGCTTCCAAGTATTTGTCATACAGCGATCAGCACTAAAATGACTTCGTCTGATTAGGATGATGTGAATAAATTGGTGTTTGACTTGGTTACCAGTTGCCCAGCTGTTAGAAAAGCCAGTCTTGGGTTATGGGTATAATCGTTACGTTATGTAGATAAAAAGTTGCCTTTGTGGATCGTTGTTTCTCCTCGGGGTATTAAAATGTATATCCCAGCCAACTAAACACCAATAGACCACGAGTCAATTATAACGTTGCCGGAGTTAATGACACCTTTGGAGCTGGGAGCCGTCTTTTAAAACAACTTTATTAGTACATTTGTCCACAAGATTATTACCAGCGAAGTCCAAAACACGAACAGTCTGCTATGATTTTATTAATATTGTAGGCCTAATGAAGTTTATTTCAAAATTGTTATTTAATATCATACTGTTTTGACGATTTTGAAATATGGTTTATGAAATCATTTTCTTTCTCAGATATCTACTTGGAGCATACTAGTATATGGCCGAAAATGTTTGTGTTTACTAAAATCAGACGTTACCAGTAGCATAATCGTCAGTGTATTCTATTTGACATCTAGTACATTTTATTTTTGAATTATTCAATAATGCTGTCACGTCAAAAGTCGTTCTTCGTTTTTTAGTTTATAAGTTTATTGAGCACTAAATGATATGAATACATTTGCAGGCTCACTAGACTACATTATTCACACAATATATAAGGATATACATTTATATATGTTTACATATGTAGTATCAGAATAGAAGAAAAGAATGGATGGTATACATTATATTTGCCACAATTTCGATTCACTTAGTCACAAGAATAAAGTATGCACAAGTGCTATGTGTTGGCGAGAGAACTCCAGCCAAACTGCACTTTGTATAATGATCTCTCCTGCTATTCATCGGTGAAGGGCCGTCTATGTAAGAGACCAACTATTAGAAATCGTCGCCATTCATGTCCAACTATCCGTGAAATAACCAGATGTAACGGAATCCTTGGTCACTTAATGATGGACGACATATAATCGGGACATCCCAGACAGCGGCCGTAGGGCACCTTCCGATATCAGAGGCTTCTAACATAGTATACAAAATGTAGGTATGAGACATACGATAATTTAGTAACAGCTCATGACTACTAGCGCACCCTGTGGCCAGAAAATGGCTAAGAAGATGTAACATGGAGTGTGCATAAGCGAACAATAAGCACATAAAATGCATTGAAATAAGCCATCATAATCGTGCAGCAATTTCTTGTAATCGTCATTAATGATTAACACGTGGACATTTAATACTACTTCCATGTTACTTGCTCAAGAAGATGATTTAATACGTAAATAAATGGTTTATTAAGACTGGTACCATATTGGTGCAGTTACACATTCTATCTCAAAAGAAACTGATTATAAAAGCTGGCTTTATTTAAAAAGTGAGACACATTGGTCGGGACCAAAGACAAGATTTATTGTGAAATAATTCGTGAGACATGGATAATAACAATTGTTTTAAGAATTCATACCTCTTAGAATGTACTAAAATTCAAATACAGTTTTTTTTATTCTATTTTATAATTGAAAAAAGCGACATGTTTACTGGTCCGATACATTGTGTACCGATGCCCGTGTGACTCCAATGCTTCTTCAGAAATAACATGATATTTTGTTTACAATTATTTCTATAACGCTGTAGTGCAAAGTATTTCCCCCTCTATCTCTCTTATTTTCAGACGCAGTAGTGCGAAGTGTTTCCCCCTCTTTCAATCTCTCTTGCTCTCAGATGTTTTTTAAAAAACAATTTACCCCTTTCTGAGAAGTATTTTGAATAGCCCAAAATTTCAAAAATTAGTAGGAAATTTTTCTGAATTCCGAAGAGTAGTGTCGTTTCCTATACATATTTCCTTGGCACACGAGAATTGCCCCCTGTACACCGTGACTCTTAGTATAAATTTTCACTCTGGTTTTGCCGTCCAAATTGTGTTCCTAAATATCATGCACTGAAGACAGATAGGAAAAATTAAAAAAAAAAAGAAAAAAGAAAAACTAGAAATACATGTACTCTGATAAACGAAGTAGACCATATTAAGATGAACGTGTATTGGAAATACGAGGTCCACAGTATTTGAAATATGGCATATATGAACATAAGGAATGGCGCACTATTTATGTAACCTATCAATAATGTAAGAGTATGGTAGAGAATCTTTGGCGTAAAGGTCATAGTCGGGTTTTATATATATATATATATATATGTGTAGGTATTATGTGTAGAACATGTGTAGAGCAAGTCAAGGGCTCATTTCTAATGAAACTATAGTTCTACACAGATCGATCCAATTCCAAGGGGCCTCTGGCTGAATGCAATCAGATTAACAAATTAACACGCCTCCCCTTGTTTCCAACGTATTCGCATTATTATCAGCAGTTTTTGTGTGTTCTACTCAACGCCAGGGGGGGGGGGAGCATTAATCTGTTAAACTGATTGCATTCAGCGAGAGTCCCCGCAGAGTTGGATCGATCTACATCGGACAATAGTTTTATTGGGAATGAGCCCTTAGATGTAATTATACTACTATATGTTTCTTCAATTATATTCAGTTATACCCGTATGTATTTATGCATTTTGTATTTATTTAGGTATGTGTATTTTACACCTGTTATAGACGGCATTGTTGCAGAATCGACAGATTATAGAAAAGTGCAAAAACATTTTACCATAACCACGGGATCAGACGATAACAATGATTTTACATGCATGTTGAACGCCTTTTTAAAGTAGCCTTTAGGCTGACTTCTATTAAAAAAACATATTAACCTCTGCAATGTTTTTGTAATAAGAAAACCACAGGTCCCAGCTGCAACTGGCACTTCTCCTGCGGCAATTTAGACCCTATATTACCACTCGTTAGAAAGTATAACCCATTACCTGGACCCCAGAGAGAGTTTTGTGCATTAGATATTTTAACTGACATTTCTCTGGATATTCACTGGCCGTGCACATTTCTGTTTTGCTAGGATTTTTGCACATGAACTACCAGTAGGTCATCACCCAGTTATTGTGCTTTAAATTAGCATTCTGAGCACGTTCCCTCACCAGTAAAAACTTTGTCAATGTGCCTAGGTGATTAATGTAGCTATAATGGTGACGGTATAAACGGCTAAATTAAGTGTTGGTCATTGCGGCCCAGCTCAGCGTGACAAATGGTTAACTGCGCCATCCCCCCCTCTCTCTCTCCCTCTCAGACACACGCACACACACGCACGAACACACAAACCCACACTTAAACATATTTGTTGCTAAGTTTTAGTTTCTATATCAGGATTTCTAAAGGTGATAGAGGCAGTAAAAGTAGACGCCCCCCCCCCCCCCCCGTCCACTGAAAAAGATTAAACACATTCCGACATTCCGAAAGACAAACGAGGTACACCATTAGGACCAGCTTAGTAGATCAAGAAAGGTCGTTGATCTTTTTTATAATTAGTTTTTCCATTATAATAAATACTTGCTCTCTCCAACGGTGTACCGACGCCGCTAGTTTAAGTATTCAGCCCAGATAAAAAAAAGACGAATGAGTAGAAACAGCAGCTACTGGGTACTGTTGTGATTCTGCCCGTGTTACGTATAACCTTCAAGGAATTAGTTTTATGCTCTCTGCGTGTGAAAGGTGGTTTATCTGGTTTATATACTACCTAACCGGGGTAGCATCCTGCGTGTTTGAGATCCATGTACAGTGACGACATATTAACAACTAGTACCTGGGTGAGTGAGGAAAACAGAATGTCGTTATCAATGATAAAGGCAACCGTTATCATCTTGCAAATTCCCATAGGTGTCTTAAGGGTAAAGGTAGTCGTTACTTAGAAGAGTAGTTATTACGAACATCCTGACTGTTGCAAGGGATGAGATAGACGAAGCACTTGCAGCGTCCTTGGTTTCCCCAGACTTATTTTAACAACATGGCTGGCAAGAGAGTAGTTGTTCTGATCCCCCAGCAGAGAGTTGTTTGGCATCCATTTCTTTAGCTGCTATCCACGGGCCTGGTTAGTTATCTACTTTGTATATACCAGTCCCTTCGGACTGACCCATTGACGCTATGATTGATAACTTAACTTCAGATGCATGTATGTTTAAAGTTTACGTTGTTATTTCTAAGTTATGATGATATCGCAATTTTGGGCTTGGACTCATGAGGTCGTTTTCAGTTGTTGGTCCGTTTATTTTTTTTACAACGTGTTATTATTAATCAAGTTTCACATAGTCCCTTGTACGACCCAGACATATTGGTTTTGCCTCTGTGGGTGTTAATTTGCACTGCGCAGCATGAAATGCAATGTTAACGATCTGTAAATGTTTTCACATTTCGGTCAATCTGCAACAAATTACCCCCTAAGACCCCGCTTTCCATCAGACTGCCTCATTTTCGGCCTTCAAAGTGAACTGTTTAAATGATGAAAATGAGGTCAGAATGTTGGATAGCAGTTTATTTGAAATATTCAATCAAAACTTTCTGAAATAAATATCAGGATGCCTAGGACTACCTGTGGTGTTGAACGTTTTCTGCTGTAGTGGTTTGCAAAGAAAAGATTATTGAACACATACATGGTAAATTATGTAGCTGCATGGTGGCTAAATTGTGAATAATCGTTATTCTGTTTTAAGTAGGTCCAAATTCTGAATCTGACTCGTAAATAAAATGATTTTCTGACGTTTTTACACATTTTTTCTTTACTTCAGGTGTCACCAGCTGATAAGGTTACCGGAACAATGGAGATGAGGCGTTACTTCCTTGAGAGCAAGCAAGTCTTCACGTGGGACCAGACGACCGTGGACACAATCACAACACGTGACTTTACAGCAGACGATGGGTCCCGAAAACGTGAAGAGAGTCACGTGATTGAAAAGAACACTCTTTTCACGCGTGATTATTCGTTTAAATTCGGAGGAATTGAACTTCTTGCTCATTTCGAAAAAGATAAATCTAAATATATAGATAACTTTGGACAGGATCGTGAGGAAGATGAACACGTGGTAGTGCCAAGTGCCACACCCACTCTACAGCTGGGTGACGACGAGGAAGAACAGGCAACGCTGCAGGAACAACAGATGTTAAAACCTCCTGAACCAGAACCACCACAGAAACCCACTCCGCAGGAAGTGGATCAGATAGACAATACTATAATCGTGGATGCTACATATCCAAAAACAGAACTCGACTTAACTCACCCGCCGGGTGTTTCTCTTACTGACAAAGTCTTACAGAAACCACCGACACCAATCTCTAACGGAGAAATTCTACCTGTAGATATACAGTCAAACAAGCAGGACGATGGGACGCCTGATGAAGATACGAAACCCGAGGTCGGTAAACAAGATGCACAGCCGATAGATGGCAGCACAAGTACAGATCAGTCTACGTCCGAGGTATTTATCACACCCCAGGGAACTCCCACAGAAATCCTGTCGCCCGACGAAGAGCAGGTAGGGCTAAAATTGGAGGAAAAGCGCCTCATCAGACCGCCAAGTCAGTCATCAGATGACAAACCGGAACGCCCTGACGAACCGTCAGCATTTGGTCAAAACAAACCAGAGAGCCCGAAAAGAAATGGCGTTTCAGTACAAGATGTAGTATTTCAGACTGATTTGGAAACAGCAACCACGGAGGAAACTCGAAAAGCACCAGGTGGAGCACAAGAGCCGAAAGAAGAGCAAGTGAGTCCAGTGGGACCTCAGGCTTTAATTGCTTTGGATGAGCCTCGAGATATTCAAACCGCAATCATGCCGTCAGAAACTTTACAAAAACCAGAAGATCGCAATTTAGATGATCGTGAGCCTGAACCTAAAGATAAAAAGTTTATGTTAAAAGACATGGTTGAATCGGCATTTGATACAATTGAGATTGAGGAAACGAGGACGCCGCCCAAGCCAGGAGAATCGCACGGACAAGAACCCAGGGAAGATTTAATTAGTCCGGATAAATCTACAGAAACTATGGATTTAGATACGCTCGTCCCACAGACTGCGACACTTTCAGTCGAAACGTTAGAAAAACCTGTGACGGAGGAAGTCAAGACACCTGAAGAGGAACCAAAAGATATAATTAATTCAGATGTTGATATAGACAAAATTGTGAAAAAGGAAATTCCACCAAAAACAGATACCATATACGAACAAGAGCCCATGGAAGAGCTTGCGGGACCAGACGAACCGAAGCAGACAATAGTTTTAAAAGATGATGAAATCGTAGAAAGTGCAACTGTTCCCGAAAAAGTATTGCAAAGCCCAGTTGTACAGATATCGGAAGAGAATCCTCCTACACAAAAAATTCCAGTCGAAACGTTAGAGAAACCAGTGGCCGAGGAAATGGATAAGACTCCAGAAGAAGAAGATCCTAAACCGAAAGACATAATTGAGTTAGATGTTAAAGCTAACGGAACTGACGAAAAGCAAATTCCATCAAAGACTGATGCCATATATGAACAAGAGCCCATAGAAGAGCTTGCGGGACCAGACCAACCGAAGCAGACTATGATTTTAAAAGATGATGAAATCGTAGAAAGTGCAACTGTTCCAGAAAAGGTATTGCAAAGCCCAGTTGTACAGACATCAGAGGAGAGTCTTCCTACACAAACTGCACCTGCCGAGGAAGATGAGGTAAAGCCATTAGATGAAAGGGCAATAGAGGGCACACCTTTATCATCCCAAGAACCATCAGAAGACGTGGTATTTTCGCCAGACACAGTTACTGTTCCATTAGATGATGAAGTCAATATTCCAGAAGCTACCACTACAGCTAAGCTAGACGAGGAATTGCTTGAACCTCCACCTTTGCCAAAAAAGACACGTAAATCGCAAGAGCTAGACGAGCGCATAGTGACTGTTATGGAGGACAAACCAGTTTTAGACTTGGATACCAATCAAAATGAAACAATGGCGATACCTGGACAAGTCCTGCAAGCTCCGCCGCCGCCATCACAAGAACCGGAAGTGGGTGAGATAAAAAGACCGGAAGTTGACGCTACGGTGGATGTGGAAAGTAGTCATCCACAAACTACCAGTATGAGTGTTTCAGAGGAAACTTTAGAAGGTCCTTCTGTAACGGCATTGACAAAACGTAAAGAAACAACAGTGACGGTTACAGAAACTACGTTAGTCGAACAGGAAGAAGATATAACTCCATCAGAACTTAGAAAAATGGTAGAATCTGCTTTTGATATAGTTGACGAATCTGAGGCTCAGGAAAACGTTACCGATGTACCATTAGAAGTCGAAGACCTCCCAACTCAGGAGATTCCTGAAGACGTGTCAAATGTCCGTAGTCAAGAAACCATCCAACGCTACGTGGAACCAACACACGTGGACGAACAGCACGTTCAGCCAGCCAATGACATTACTCCAACAACAGAAGACGAAAAGCAGATACAAGCGCAAGAAGCTATGGTAGCAGCAACGGAAGTCCAAGTAATACAACAAGACGTGTCTCTAACTGGAGAAGAGGAGGAACCATCTCAACACGAATCTCTGCTTCGTGAAATGGTGTTAGCTGCCATGGAAATAAAAGACGGGGAGCCTGTACCAGATACTGCAGAAGAGGAGGAGGAAAACGAAGAGCCATTGGGTATGATCATGCCTTTTATTTTGTTTAAGATGTGAGGTTTTTTTCCTGGGTGTGAGGACAAAACTGGTTGCATAACTAAAAAGGTCCTAAAGGTCCTAAAGCCACACATGTATTGACAAAAATAAACTTTCAATTAAGACCGGCCACAGTCGGAAAATTGACTAAATAAAAAATTTAATTATATTTAATAACTGCAATAATTATTTTTCAGATGTTTACCACACTCAGGATACTGCTGTTCCAAGCAAATTCGTCTTTCTGCCGGAGACTCTGTTCAAATTTATTCCTTGGACGACGTTTCGAGTGCGATCAGAGAGCGAGGTTTACGTCGCTTTGACCAAAACCCTTGAAGACGTCGAGAACGACGCTCATGTTATAACCCTTGGGGCCCTAGACAACACCCTTACCACGATCCAGGATGGGTCAAAAGGGCCCGTGGTAAATGCTTGCAAAACGGACAATATTCTGTCTGAGAAATATTTCAGGAGTTTTTGGATCAGCTGGGATAATCATAAACTACAAATAGGAAAAGGGAGACGAAGAGGATACAGAACCATCATGGAATATGATATACCAGAAAACAGAAGGTTTCCAATAAAATACGTCGCCGTTGGCACTGGTGAAAAACCGTCTGAATGGGAATTTTTCCTCACACCAGGTACATTAAATTTGCATGCATGTATGTTTTATTTATGCTTTATGTTATGCCTCTACGCTTCCCTCCTTTTGCGTGTTACACCGTATTTTAAAGCGATTTAAAAACTATGACTTATTTGCTCCCCCCTTAATGGGTTATACAATGTAAAATGCTTCACGCTTCTTATACGAATTCCCAAACGGAATTGAGCTCTCATCAGTTATGGAGAACACATAAACAATTATTCTCATTTATTCTCATATTGACTATAAGCACGAAAAGAAACGCCCAAAGCGAAAGTGTTTTGAAGGAATTATTTCTTAAAACCTTCGACGAATCGATGCTTTAACAATTTTGTATTATTTTAGTTGTTTTGGTTACACTAAAAATTAAATAGTACTGACACTCACTGTTGATACTTCGTATTCACGTAAATTGAATGAGAGGATAGCATGATTACTAAACTTGGATTATAACCGGTCTTTGTAAATAAACAATTGACTTTTACCGTATAGTTACATATGATGGTCTTTGCAGCCTTGCAATAAACTTATATAATGAAACATTATTGCTATACACAATGTTGTTTGCAGAACTGAAAGCAATGATCCAAGACACAATTGGCGTTGAAAGGCTAGACTCCTTTGAAGAGCAAATTCCAGGAGAAGAAAAGATGGCGCCCCCACAAGAGGAACTCACCACAGAACCTCTACCTGGCCGCCAGATGGGGCTAGTGGAACAGAGCATTACTGAAGGAGCAGACGATGAAACCTTGGGATTAGTGGAACCTAGAATAGGTATGTGGATTGGATAATAGACTGTACTACACTGATTAATAGAGAGATTAACAGAGTGCAGGAACAGTGCACCGGAATGGCGTTTCTGTTCCTAAGGTAGCTGCTGGTGTACAATACTTTGACCATGCCTTATTCTAGGAAAGGTAGGCCATTTTTTTAGAAAAAATTCTGTTCTCAAATTTGTAGTATGGATTTATACGTTTAGCAGCAAATAGATATTTTTTTCGTATTGTAAAAATAATTAGATGAAAGGTTTCAAATTAATGCGTTCTACAGGTGATATCTATATTTCATCTTAATATAGTTATATTGATGTTCATCGTCCTGCCCGCATGCTTGCTGGCAGACAGTTCAAAGATTTATACGGAGCATCTTCTGTACGCATTTGAATGGATTTACGATGACGATATATCATCTTCACATAAAGATAAAGGGTATCGCGGTATGAGGGAGATTAATCAAAGCTCTCTCCATGGATAGACGAGCCTGTTTCAGTATAAGTCTGTTGTAAGTCAATGTAAATATCTTGCGGTAGAGGACGGTTGCATCGTCGCCGTTGCCGTTGACCTGGCAAAGTATGTCTATGATACACGGCACGTTATCAAGCACGCAAGATAAATAAGAAAAAACATGAAAATGTGACCTCTGGTGACTTCGCATGTAATCAGTAAGTCATTGTACATGTACCACTGGGTGCGTGTACAGTTCTATCAGAAGAACTGTCGCTGTTCAGTTATCGTGTGTTTCATGCTTATATGCTTTATGATTTACAGCCAATTTCCGTACCCTGACCGTTTTCCACGTTGGAGAGTATCGCTTCATCGACGGCTATCCTCTAGATGACTGCCAATGGGTAGTGTTCGGTCTTCAGGCAGCGTCTGATGTGAGGGTGATTTTAACCTCGGAGTATGACGAACTTTCCCAAAGATGCTACGAAGTAATAATCGGTGGAGATAACAATAGTAAGACAGAAATCATGGCCTCCGGAGAGAAGCAGGATGAATGGAAGACTCAAAGCATTCTTTCAAAGGATATGTACAAGACATTCTGCCTCAGTTGGAACGAAGGTAGGCTACAGTTATACCGACATTGGACAGCCTTTAAGTTATTTATATACATTTTAATGAAATAACTAGCAAACATCATTGTTAGACCATATAATGTGGCTTCTCCTACATGTATATTAGGCAGTAAGGAGAACACCTGACCACGTTATTATAAAATAAAACTCAATTTTAGCCACCCCTTCTCTCCTTTACATGAAACAGCATTTCAGTGAGACTGTGATAGCCATTGCTTCCTCCTTGCTGGAAAAGGTTAACAGATATTATTGCCAAAGTAGTCATTCTTGACGCCACTTGGTAGACGGCCATATTGAAATGATATACAGAAACAATCAGCACCTGTCATGTGCATGTGATTAGCAGGTCTGGAAATAGGAAAATTACGTCTGAGTATACGTTTTTTTAGTTCTATTCTTCAAAGGGAATAGCATTAGTCGGAGCGGGGTTGTGAACATTACCTTCTGCTGGTAATAATAATCAGCAATCACTTGTTGGTAAGGCATGCGCATATGTTTGTTTTATTCATCAAAGAGTACATTCAACCTTGTATCGGTTAAGCAAGAGGTACTTTCGGATCATTTTTTCCTGAAAAATCACGGAAAAGTATTTTGTATATTTGACAAGGTAATGAAAGAAATAAGGTAAAAAATGTTCGTCAAAGATAGAAATGCGCTGTTTGCGTGATGTAAGCGCTAGCCTACATCTACCTGTTACAGCAACTTATACGGCATAATGGAAGATTATGTTATGAATAATAAATATAAATAAACCTGAGCTTTAATACATTTGCCGTGAAATACGAATTCTTCAAATGGTGACAATCTTCTGGCAGTATGTCCCTTGCCACGAGGGTCAGTAGTGTTAAACTGACCGGTGGGTGGCTTATGGCAGTTATGATTTTCTGGGTTTAATAGAAAATTATATGAGACGTTGTGCCGCAATAGAATTATTGCCTATCATATGTTCTACATCATTGTTGCTGCAATGGCCCTGATGACAGATAATAGTATACGAAACTGTGTCATAACGGCAGTAAATTATGAATGTGTGTATTGCATGTACATTTTCTGCATCAGTTTTAGACTAATAACTGATGACTAGTAGCGGATTAGAAGAAATTTACTCTATTAGTTATTTGCCATTATCGAAAGTAACGCCGAAACTGCTCATCGTGTGAGGTGTTGGAATTAACTCGAAATTAAGTCATATTCACCCGGAATTTCTCAGATAACTGTTAACTAACCTTCATCATCAGCATGGCTTTTCCGTTTCCAATCACTATAAGAGGAAGAAGTTACCTGGGATTGAAGGAAGTTTTCGGTTATCTGTGATTCTCGGGGTGGTCCTGCTGGCATCGTTTGGCATATCTTTACATGATACAGAGGGCATGCATGAGGAAAATGAGGCGCGTGGATGTATGCAAATACAGGCACGTTCACACGGAAAAAGATAGAAAGGACCATGGGGAGGATGAATGGAGTAGATACATTTTTAATTTACATGTTTTTATCCTCAATGCATACATTTTAGTAAATAAATAAATAAATAAATAAATAAAATATAATACTGTAGAAAGGACACTGTGGAGTTTCGGATTGCGCCTCTTGTTTATTGTAGAAAAAATCATCAAGTTCAACAGTCTGGTAATATGGCTGACGAAGGTGTAGCTGTGTTGAGAAAGCTTGATAACGGTTTTCCACTGATGACAAATATGTTTCAAACCCGATTTTCCCCGTCTGAGCGCACATGTGCTATCAGATGCTTCATGTGTCACATGTAAGGCGAAAGAATAGCAAAGATGTTTATATAACGCACTTTATAGTTTACTCTGCTGTGAGCAATGGATTCCAAAGAGGTGAAAAATCCGACATTCCTTATTTAACAACCCCAAGGTCAAGTACCCTTTTAGGAAGAGTTACCAAAATGACTCAGTAGTAGAATGAGACCTACGTGAACAGTAATTAATGGTGTTCCATTGCAGTTCACGACCAGTGGCGTTTTGATTTTTACATAAAAGTTATGCTGGACACGATTGGATTTCAGGTCTTTTCTTTGTCTACATGTCCTGTAAAACTTCGTATCTTCCCAATGACAACCTAACAAATACATACATGTATATAGTCTCTCAAATAAAAGTCGTCTGCAACAATTTATTTATGTATAACATAGCAAAATGACACAGAAATCTTAATCTTACATTCATTTATTTCACAACTTCTCAAATTCGAGACTTTTTCATGATGGATGAATTTGTTGTGCAGTTATTTCTTGCTGTGAAGTCCTTTATTTGTGATTATATTATAATTACAACGCAGGTAAATAATCCTGTAAGACAATCACTTATCCATATTTATTGAATCAATGATCGTTTTCAGATAAAATCGAGCTTGCAGAAGGTGTGGAGGGTAAATACCGCAGTGTGTTGGAGTGGAACATCCCAGGGGGAAAGAAACACACCATCAAATACCTAGCCATCTGTGGTACAGGGGTATGGAAGATACCGGAATATACATGTAAGTAACACTTTTTCTGTGTCAGAATTGCCCCCTTCGTATATTATAACTGACCAGTTCGTAACTACCTCGATTGATTGGTATATCCTGTAAAAGCTTTTTTTTAAAACTTAATTAGAGGTATGACTAGATTTAAGACCATCCCTTTTGTACTGACTGTTTTTTGTTTGTGATCTCATTGAAAGTTAGGGATGAAAATTAAAATCGTACTATCATTGTGTAAGAAACCGTTGCTGTTTCACAATTTTTTTTACAAAATTCAAATATGTGGCACTGAAACACGATTTTTATTCGTTTTGTTCCTCCAGCAAAGCCCCCGAAAGATTTTCAAAAGAGGGCGACGTACTTGGTCAGCAAAGCTCTGGAACTAGAGCCCCAGGAGCCTTCTTATACAGAGGTCACAGAGCAGCGGGTACGGTTAGGGGTACTTCTGGCACAACAGGAAGAATTGGAAACAGTCACCCCTATGAAACTGGAACCTAAAATAGGTAGGTTTGCGTCCGTTGAAGTAATATAGGTTGGTATTTTACTATGTGATAGCGCGAATAGCGCTCGCAAAACAAGAAGCATTTTGTGTGGGAGATGAAATATTCGCTTTTCATTGTATTTACAACCTAGTTTTTTCATTCAAGCAGTAGATACAGCACAACTGATACGATGTCGTTGCTTGAGCGTAAAATACGACATACAACACAATGGTTTTCTGTTGATACAGCTTTACTGAACAGTCTGATCTTCCAAAAAGCAATATCACCTTTGATATATTCAATGTGTATTTACGTAAAGATTTGTTTATCCTTTCGGGCTAGGGGGTATGTATATAAGAACCTCGCAAGGTAGGCTTGACTATCTTCGTAGTGCTATAGACCAATGTTGTTACACCTGTCGACAACACAATGTCTGGTAGATAGGTTCGGCAAGCAAGAACCTGGCTATATTTACCACAATACCAAAACATGTACACATTGTGGTTTAAAATGGTTATGCCGAGACGAAACAGTTCATTACAGCCCATTAATTGAAACGTGTTTTTCTTTCGGCAAGCCCCCCTTTTTTTTGTAAAGATTATGATTATTACATATGCAAGAGATAGGTGTATAATTTATAATACGTTTAATATCCACCAAGGTTCTTTGAAATGATAATTGTGATTAAAATAATTTACTGACTTCACGTTTTTTTTATTATACATGTATTTTTTTTTAAATAATCAGTCACGTTTATTCCGGAAAGGTCAACTCTTATTCATGAGCGATGTGTTTGTCATAATAGCCTTTAGCAATATTTAGGTAAATAGCAATGAACATTTGATGTCTTTCAGAAAATCTCCAATCGTTCACCATTAGCCAAGAGACAGACATTCGCTTTATTGATACACATCCCGTGCATCAGCAGCGTTGGTTTGTTTTTGGAGTTCGCGCCGCTAACGATGTCCGAGTTTATTTATCGTCGGCGGCAGGAGAAACGAAAGAGAATTGTTACACGGTGCAACTGGGATGTGAGGGGAACACTAAGACGCAGGTTGTGGTGTCGGGGGTGTCACAAATAGAAGTCCCGACTCATGGGATTCTCTCTGACGTGGTCTTCAAGACTTTCTGGGTTAAATGGGACGACGGTGAGCATTGTGAATTTTTAAAAATTATTTATTTTGCTAAATGATCTTGTATTTTGTAACAGTTTCATTTCTTAATGGCATTCGACATTTCGATAATTTTGAATAGCTAACGCTTGTCCAATGTAATCACAGAAATGAGATAAGATCATCAATGTTTATGTTAAGTCCTTGTTTGATTTAATATTTGATGTGATATCGTCATTAAAATATAAGTAAAAAACAACGTCAAAATAACATTACGAAGCAAGATTTGTTAATTATTCAAAATAAATAAATTTGGCTGCAATTTGAAGTTACCCAAGTGTTTTATACTCTTCCTCAGATAAACTAGAGGTTGGAGAAGGTGACAGAGATGACCAGCGTTCAATATTAGAGTGGACAATTCCTGATGACAAACGATTTCCCGTCAACGCCATCGCTTTATCAATCGGCGCTACACCGGCAGAATTCAGAGTTCCAGAGTTTAATGGTAAGACTAGTTCAATACTGTGGGGATGACATTTATCCCTTTAAAAGACGCAGATATGAGATGTCGCAGAGTTATACACCTGTCACAAACACGATATATCACAACTGTCGTTTTTGTCTTAAAACATCATATGAAAAGTTATTTAAAAGCGATGCTTATCTCTGACAGGATAGCACATACCATACTGTCACGCCTGCCTAGGGCGGCTTATGCCTATCAAAAATTAGCACTTCGTGCCAACATCATTACCGCACCTGTTGCCAAGATGATCGTATCCATAAAGCAAAACGCATTTATTAAAGCTGATTTGAAGACGTAAAACATAATGAAATTAAATTATTTTAAGTTTTTCATATTAAATTAAATAAAACAAAATTTTGCTCCTAATCAGAAAAAACTAAAGGTCTCCGTTTCAAATCAGCACAAACGCTCTTTCACAGTAGAGACTATAAATGATTCATCGGCAATTTCGCAAATACATGGTGTGTATTTTCATTTTGATATTTGATAGCTGTTTCCGAACTTCCCAAGGCCACTCAGTTACTGTATATGGTCCTAGAAATGGAGCCAGAGAAAACTGCGGAGGAGGCCATAGTAAAAATGACAGAACCGGAACTTGAGACTGTACAGCAGCAAGAAGAGCAGACGCCTTTCGAAGAGCTAGTGGCATTGGAGCCTAAAATTGGTACAGCAGAAATTGACTTTCGTAAACAGAAAGAAATGGGTTAATTGGGAAGCTTTTGCTGAAGCAATTACCCCGTGCTGTGCCACAAAAATTACTACAACATTTCTTTACACAGATCAGAATAAAATACTTCGAAAGTTTTGCTATCTTTACACCTGTCCTCTTCCAATAAGGTGTTCTCATAATCATCAGTAAACACGAATAATTTAACATACATATTAAAGCCATCCAAAGTTTTTTCTAAATATGTTATAATGAGAAAATTTTCACTATTTTTTTTTCGATTTTTAGACCACTTCAGTTGTCTCACAATATTCCAAGTCGATGCTACCCGTGTCCTTGAGGGATACCCGTTACCAGGTCAGCGGTGGTTTGTATTCGGTCTCCGGGGTTCATCTGATGCCCGCGTGGCTCTGCTCAACGTAGAGGAAAACGTTGCTCGTAAGAGCTATGAAGTGGTTTTAGGGAGTGAGGGGAACACGAAGACTGAAGTGAAAGAACATGGGGTAACTCAGATGGTTATTCCTACTGAAAACATCCTGTCAAAAGATGTCTTCAAGACATTCTGGATTAACTGGGAGGACGGTACGTTTTTATCTTAACTATATATGTTTAATGCTTCTAAATCATCGCCATTAAGTGTTTCTGTTGATAAAAGTTTAATGTTAAATAAATATTGATATTCGACTAATATAGTATGTTTGGTTGGTAAAGACGTACTGCCAGAATACAGTTATACAGCTAATAACTTAATAAACATGCACCAGCCCAACAAATCGTTGTGCGATTGATCTTTTATAGATAAACTCACTCTTGGAGAGAATGATGAAGGTAAACAGAAAACAAAACTGGAGTGGGAAATCCCGAAGGAAAAAAGACACCCAGTGAATGCGGTAGCAGTTTGTTGTGGGGATGAAAAGGGCGCTACATGGATGGTACCAAATTTTGAAGGTAAAGAACATTTTGTAGTTTTTCATGATCCTTTAATTAGCAGACAGCGTCCATTGAAAGCATTTTATTAAAATACATAGAAGATAGAAAAAGTGTAAACAGACAGGTCGTGGTATGTGGACTAGTGTGAATTTGAGATATAAGATAACGCTTAGCTTTTTCCTCAAATAGTCACCACGCTGCCGAATGATGTCAATAAAGTTTCCCACGTCACCTACATGACCCTGCAGGCAGGGTGTGCTGACACACCAATTGTTGACGTCACAGACAGGAACATCTTTCAAGACCTCCAATTCGTGGAAGAACAAAAGGAATTGGAGCCTACTGCTGAGGAAATTTCTGGGGAGCCCAAAATAGGTAAGATGTCACGCAAAACGCCAGGTGGGCTGTCAGTTCACATCAGCACGTATCTCAATTTAAAGCTTGATATATGTGTCAGATAAACCCACAGAAGAATATTTACGTTTTTCCATATGTTGTATAGCAATAAAAAATCAAATTGATACCCATGAGTTCTGTGCGTTTTAGAAAACTTCCGATGCCTTACCGTATTCCAAGTGGATGACTATCGCTTCTTGGACGGGTGGCCTCTACCAGAGCAACAGTGGGTAGTCTTCGGGCTGAAGTCAGCCAAGGACGCCAGGGTCGTTCTGGCTACAGTGGAGGGTTCCCAGGCACGTAAGAGCTACGAAATCGTCATTGGAGGCAATGAAAACTCTACCACAGAAATAATGGCAGAGGGACAAATTCAGAAGACGACACCCACAGAGAGCATTTTATCCAAAGATATATTCAAGACATTCTGGATCAGCTGGTGCAATGGTAAATATCAAAAGTGACGTGTATCCAAAAATAAAAGAACGATATTAGTATATTTCCTACAAGATTTTAAAGAATTGCTTGTATTTTTTTATTTAACTAAGAAATCGGGAAAATTAATTCCGCGTAAAAATCAGTTTTGTTTAAGTTGGTATTGATCAAGTTGATTGGAGTAAAGTTTGTATCAAAAACATGGACATGTACTGTCAGTTGTGAATGCGCGCATCACCAGGACCAAACATTGCTATATTTAACCTTTATGTACACAGGTAAAATTTATATTTCCAGATAAAATAACCCTGGGAGAATCTGAAAAAGACGTACATCGCACTATGCTGGAGTGGGATATTCCAGAAGACAAACGCCATGATATCGACGCCATTGCTGTCTCCTCCAGATGCGAGAGTGGAGCAGTGTGGATGCTTCCAGAATTCCAAGGTAAGGTTTAATCCAATTATTCGTATTCGCTCTAGTGTAATCATAATGCGTTTCAGACCGGGGACCATCTTCATTTGTGAATTTTAAAGTTATTCATCTTTGTCATCCGTACTTATGAAAGTTATATTCTGTATGAGGCACTAAACGTGGTTATATTGGTGGCAAAGAATTTGAGTCTAACAAAACAATTACACTTTGCTAAATATAATTCAATTGTGTAATTTCCTTTTAGTCTAAATTGATTCCACTATTCAGAAAATGATGTGTAAATAAACATAATATATATCGGCAAATAAAAGGAAGTTTGTCCTACTTTTCAGTGATGAAACAACCTGTTGATATCACCAAGCAGTCCTGTCTTACCTACCAGAGCCTGCAGCTTGAACCCAGTGAAATGCCCCCTGTGGTAGATGTCACTGACAAAGTTGTCCACAAGGACATACAGCTGGTTGTGGAACAGAAAGAAGAAATGCCAGAGGAGGAAGCGGCTCCTTTAGAGCCTCAAATAGGTAAAGGTCAACAACGTTTCACATGTTTGATTTATTTGAGTTTATGTAAAATCTTACATATTAAGAAAAAAGAACGATATAGAAAAAAATCCGTGTTCCGTGAAACAAGATATTTGAGCTAATATGTACCTAATTGTATTTTAGAAAAGTTCCGTTGTCTCACCGTCCTTCACGTTGATGACTATCGCTTCCTGGACGAATGGCCACTCCCAGAGCAGCAATGGATAGTCTTCGGGCTGAAGTCAGCCAAGGACGCCAGGGTCGTTCTGGCTACAGTGGAGGGTAGCCAGGCACGTAAGAGCTACGAAGTCGTCATTGGAGGCAATGAGAACTCGACCACAGAAATAATGGTGGATGGAGAAACCCAGCAGACGATACCAACAAAGAGCATTTTATCGAAAGATATATTCAAGACATTCTGGATCAGCTGGTGCAATGGTAAAAATCAAAAGCGACCGTGTACTCGAACATATGATCATACTATATTGACTGAAGACATTTAGAAAATCGTAGTTGTATTTGTTTGTAAGTTACCAAATAAATCGACAAAAATCAATTCCCATAAAAATCTATGGAACCTTTATGTTCATCGTTATAATTATATTTCCAGATAAAATCACCCTAGGAGAATCTGACAAAGACGCACAGCGCACTGTGCTGGAGTGGGATATTCCAGACGACAAACGCCATGATATAGACGCCATTGCTGTCTCATCAAGATGTGAGAGCGGAGCAGTGTGGATGCTTCCAGAATTCCAAGGTAATTGTGTAACATGCTCACGTTTTTGCATATTTGAAATTTAATTCAGATTAGTTCTCATCTCTCATCTGTACTGATAAAAGTATGATGATGTACTGTATGATGTATTAAAAGTAATATATTTATGGAATTAGATAAAAAAAATAATTTTGCTACAAATAAATGTCTACTTCTTTCAGTTGTATGATTTGCTTTAAGATAAAACTGCTTCCCACCCAGGGCCACGATAACACATAGGGACACAGAAAGAAAATGTTTAAAAGCACAAATTTTAATTAGAAATAATAAGAATTTTGTCCTCATTTCCAGTGATGAAACAACCTTTTGATATCAACAAGCAGTCGTGTCTAACCTACCAGAGCCTGCAGCTTGAACCCAGTGAAATGCCCCCTATGGTAGATGTCACTGACAAAGTTGTCCACAAGGACATACAGCTGGTTGTGGAAAAGAAAGAAACAGTACCAGCCGAGCAAACCATACCCGTGGAACCAAAAATAGGTATTCTGTTATTACTTTTGGATAAGCGTAGTTAGAAAAATGTATAATACTTATAGCATCAAACCATCTTGCTGTTATGTCAATATTTCACATCAATGCACATTAGGCCAATACAAGTGTTATAATAATAATTATGCATGTAAGGACAAATGTCCTTTACCATTGACTGTTAAAGATAAACAACTTGGAATGTTTCTGTTTATAACCATTTTAAAAAGAAAACAACGAAAAAAATAATGGGTCCATCATCTGAGTCTTTTATATGTTTTAGAAAAATTCCGTTGCCTCACCGTGTTAACAGTCGACGACTACCGGTTCCTCGAGCTTCCTTTACAACAGTGGCTCGTCTTCGGGCTCAAGGCAGCCCAGGACGCCCGCGTTTGCCTTGGGACCGAAGAGGGAAATAAGGCACTGATGAATTATGAGATAGTCATTGGAGGGAACAACAACACCACCACAGAAATAAGAGAATCGGGAAAAGTTCGGAAGAGCGAAAAGACCGAGAGCATATTATCGAAGGACATATTTAAGACGTTCTGGATCAGTTGGAATGATGGTAGGTCACAAAATGCTATCGGTTATATTTACTAACAATTGTGTAAAAAGGTGCATGACTTAGTGTAATTTCCAAAGTGAGGAACATCATTGCACCACACATTGCAAATGTGAGCAAACGTCTTTAAATAAATATAATATAAATTTAAGTTATTACGTACAATCTTCGTTCATCAGCGCATGCGGAAAATGAGTCTCAAACGAACGATACGTTTTACAAATAATGATGAATATTAAGAAATGTAGATTACATGAGATTTATTCCGTTCTCTTCCTTTTTTACTCACAGACAGAATCACAGTCGGTGCAAACGAAGAGGACAAGCAGCAAACTGTTCTGGAGTGGGACATCCCAGAAAAGAAGAGGCGACACATCAGTGCTGTAGCGGTGGCTGCTGGAGATAAACATGGCGCCGTATGGATGGTACCAGAATTTGAGGGTGAGTTTTTTTGGAGAGAGAGAAGAAGAGAGATCTGTACAAATAGTAGAATAGTACTCAGGTCAGATGTCCTTTTAAGGATTGTCAAAAAAGCCATACATGTTTATATACTGTGAATATTATCTTCATTTTCACTAACGTGGTTTATTGTTTTCAAAATTAGCTCCCTAACTTGCTAAGGAGAAGGAAAAAATTGGATGGCAGATTGGGTAAAAGATTTAGTGTCTTGAATTTATGTATTTTGTTCTTACATAGAAACTACCGAACCGGTGGACATCAAGAAACAATCGTGCATGACGTTCCAGTCTCTCCACCTTGAACATGACGCACCTCCTATTGTTGATGTCACCAACATAGCGGTACACAAGGACATCCAGTTAGTGACGGATTATACTGTAGAGGAACCCGAGGATGAGGAAGAGAGTGAGGTGGCTGTAGAGCCAAAAATAGGTGAAATCTGCTATTCCGCCTTAGAGTCACAACAAAAAATAACATCCATTTCACCATCAAAGTAAGAAGAGAATCCTTGTGTTGTTTAGTGTTGGTTAATGAAAAAATCACAGCAATAGACATCAGTATCAAATTCCGAATTTGTATATGAAAGACCAGACGAGGCAAATCTTACTATTAATAAAAATCAATCACTGATATGTTTCAGATCTATTCCGTTGTCTAACAATATTCCAAGTAGACGACTATCGGTTCTTGGAAGGATGGCCATTACCAGAACACCAATGGGTAGTTTTTGGTCTGAAATCTTCCAAAGACGCAAGAATCGTGTTGGCCACCGTAGAAGAGAACCAGGCACACAAGAGCTACGAAATCATTATTGGAGGAGATGAAAATACGACATCAGAAATCAAAGAGTCAGAAGAAAGACAAATTATTCGACCTACCAAGAGCATTCTCAACAAGGATGTTTTCAAGACGTTTTGGATAAGTTGGAGTGACGGTAAGGTGATTTAAAAGTAACTGAACGGGATTCACGGTGAAAGTTCAGCACTTTCTATCCAGTGATAGTTTCAAATTATCTTGACCAGAACACAGTGTCCTAAACCAAAATGTTGCTTCCTAACACAGTATTCTTAACTTAACATTTGTGTTAAGACTTTTATCTGGTGTCAATAGCAAGACGGATATGAATTGATTTCATTAGTTCGCCTTTTTCAGATAAATTGATACTTGGTGAAGGTGACCAAGACACCCAGAGAGTAGTCCTGGAATGGGATATCCCAGCGGACAAGCGACACAGAGTTGACGCCATTGCTGTTTCAAGTGGTGATGAGAACGGCGCAGTGTGGATGATTCCTGAATTTCAGTGTAAGTGGAAGTAATATACACCGTGTTTAAATACGCCTATTTATTGTAGCATGCAATTGCATAATACGTGCAGCAGAAGAAATGGTATATTTTACTAATGGATGACACCTAACCCAAACAGACAGTATTAATTCTTAATGCTTTGTAAATTACCCCTGAAGATATCTAAAAGTTCAAGATTTCATTCAATTCTCATATTCAGGTTTATCAAGTGAACTAGATACATAAAGGTAAAATTATTATTTTATTTGATTGATTTTTTAGAAGGAATACAAAATGGTAAATGTCACCCTCCACATTTAATGTTCACATGGCATTGCATGGTTTCCATCATTTCTTTAGCTGCTGTACCACTATGTGACGTAAAGAGGTGTTCCTGTTTGACCTACATGTCTCTAACACTGGAGACTGAAAAACCGACAATCTTTGACGTCACCGATAAAGTAGTACATGTTGACATACAGCTGATTTCAAAGAAAAAACCTGAACCACTAAAAGAAAGAATAGTTTATGTAGAACCAAAAATCAGTAAGTATAGCTATTTATTCTAATTGCTTGGGGATTTTGTATCGTCTATTTCGTGGAAAGTCTTATATGATTATAAAAAGGACATTGTTTGGAAGATTTACATTTAGAAACAAAGGGATAATATAAAAAACCCACAAAATTTGGACACCTTTTTTCAACTAAAGATTTATATCATATCGCTCGACCTATAGTCAAAATAACTATTAGCAAAAACATTTTACTATAAATCAGACTATATATAAGAGAATTGACTAAAACCATACGTTGTTATTTTGCTTCATAACTCTCACCAGAAAATACAACTTCAACGAAAACACATTTTTCTTCAAAACCCAGAAAAATTCCGCTGCATGTACACAAGGTACGTGGACGATTACAAGTTCCTTGTCAATCAGCCATCCCTCCAGCACCAATGGGTCATTTTTGGCGTCCGCGCCGCCGAAAACGCCCGTGTCTGCCTGACCTCTGTTTATGGCGATGCGAAGCAGAAATGTTACGAAATCATCCTGGGAGGAGAGGGTAACACCAAGACTGAAATCCGGGAATCTGGGAAGACACAAAAGGAGGTGATGACCAAAAGTATTTTGTCCAAGGATATCTTCAAGACATATTGGATTTCCTGGGAAAACGGTACGCAGCAACCAATACGGTTTTAACTACGATAACTGAGCTGTCACTAGTGTCAAGGTCGATGTGAGAAGGTCGAACCTTACTGATGCTCGTTTTAATAATAAAATTCAGTATAAAATTCAATTTTCTCATTATCTGAAAGTACAACTACTTGAATCAAAGCATTCACTTTAAAACAGTATAATCTTCAATACCAGGAAAATAGAATTCTGTGATATATATATATATATATATATATATATATATATATATATATATATATATATATATAATTTATCATAATTTTGGCAAAGATGTAGTTGATGTTACAGAAAGGAACGATCGAGATCATGATATTGTTAAACAGATGATCAAGCTCATGTTGTAAAGTGACTCAAAATAATTATCCATGTAAACTTATATAAATCTACACAAAAAGCAGCATTCATGTTTTTTTCTTGTTTACACAGATACTATCCAGGTAGGAGAAGGTGATACGGGCACTCAGGAGTCCATCCTTGAGTGGAAGATACCCGCAGATAAACGCCATACTGTGAAACACGTAGCACTAGCGTCTGGGGGTGACAGTAAGGCAGAATGGAAGATTCCAGAATTTACAGGTAATGCCTACAAACTTTTTCCATGAGGAATCACATCTGTAGTTTGCAAAAATATGCAATAATTCTGTATGGATTTTAGAAGGAGAAATTAAGATTAGGGTTTTAAAATATTATCGGGTTTTTCAGCTGTATACAGTTGTATTATTAGATTCGCTTAAAAGAAAGCCGTTAGGTACTATATGTATCATTATTACCTACGCGTTCATTTTTCTATTTTTGATCACGAATCTGTGGCAAAATATTGCAAGAAGCTTTTTTTATTTTCTTATTTTTATTTTTATCTTATTCTTTTTTTGCAGAGGAATCCGTTAGCCACGTGAAGCCACAAACACTTGCCCAGACATCTCTTGTGACATTCCAAACTCTGCAACTTGAAGAGGACAAAATCCCGGCTCAAGAGGTTGCAGAACATATCTCTATTCAAGAAATTCACTTGACTCAAAGGGAGAAAGTTGAAAAACAGCTCAATGAAGTTGCTAAAGTAGAACCAAAAATCGGTAAGTTTTTTTTAAAAATTACATTGGTAGGATATTGGTGATCTTGTTTCTTTGTCATAAAATTACTTTTTTTGTAACGATTTGTTTCTTATTAAATATTTGTTGTCACACACTTTTAATTCAACCTTTTTTCATGCACAGTATAAATATACACACGATGTGCAAACTATACTTACTTGGGATAAAAAAAGACCATTTGGTGGTAAACCCTCAAGCTAAAAGCACAGTAATTTATTGCCAAATGTTACATTCCACTACGGTACTATTTCAGAATCCTACAGCGTGGTAACAACCCTCCCGGTCGATGACTACCGCACCATCCCAGGGTGCCAAAACGTAGAATGGATGGTCTTTGGTGTCCGGGCGAAGGACAACGCCAGGGTTTGCCTGACCTCCGTCCACGGTGACACGAAACAGAAGTCCTACGAAGTTGTCATTGGTAGCCACAGTAACAGTAAAACTGAGATCCAAGAGTCCGGAGAGACAGTTGTGGAGGCGCCCACTGAGGCTATATTGTCCCAAGACTTAATGAAGCCATTCTGGATGAGTTGGGATGATGGTATGTCCTTCTATGAAACAGTGTTTATCGCAGCTCTTGTCATGTATGAACATAGAAACGTCTCGTTGAGAATAAAGCTCTGAAGTAAATTAGAATATATTCAATTGTTACTCTGTCGAGATTTATGAGAATTATGCCGCCATCACAATTTAAAAGTGAACTTATATACGGGACTACTTTTTCTCGTAGCCAAAATTAAAGTCGGTGAAGGTGTTACAAAGGACGAACAGACTGTTTTGGAATGGGAGATTCCAGAGAGCAAGCTCCAGTCGGTAGATGAAGTGTCCGTGTTTGTAGACAGTGAGGAAGGCGGGGAGTGGATGGTACCCATGTTTGCAGGTTGGTACACTAGGAAACAAAATTATGCGCGTCCATGAAAAGGAGTGACGGACTCTTTGCCATTCATTCGGAATGGTTCTGTGTAGTGCCATTTTTGTAAAATATCACATAAAATGAGAAAATAGTATGGTGGCAGTTTGAATATCCTGCGCATTTGAATGACATTTTTTAAATTTTGGTCAAGAAGGTGTCGTCAAACTAGGATGTTTTTTGCCATGGCGCCTTCGTCCTTCTATTTTCTTTTTCAGATATTTGTTAAAACATAAAAAACTGCCATTTTCACTAGTCATATTTAAATATTTTCATTGAAATTGCAGTTGAACAAGAGTTGGTCACCCCAGCTGTAACAACTAGTGAAGTAGAGGAGACCAGCGTGCAGCTGGCAGAGCAGACGATTGAACAAAAAGAGCAGACGACAGTGACCGTAACTGAACCGCGTATAGGTAAAAATATAGAATGGTAACACGTACATGTTATAGCTTAATGGACGCAATTTAAGAGAAATCTCACGAATTTCAGTTGGAGCCATGCAGTTTTGTACATAGGATCAGGAATTTTCGTCATGCATTTATCCAAAAAAAGGTAGTGTACGGAATGAAATCAAACCTCCACATCATACTAACTGCTTACACGTAATGACAGATGGGCCTGTGATACGTTTACTTTTTCTCTAATTTATTTTTAGAAACATTTGTCACCATGCGAACTCATAAAGCAGACGACTACCAGTTCATTGAAGGGTACCCCACAGAGACACTTCAATCAATCGTATTTGGCATCCGTGCAGCGGGCAACGCCAGGGTGGCCCTGACGTCAAAGACGGGCGACGTCCAACACGGTGTATATGAAGTAGTTATAGGTGGCGCTGACAACACCAAGTCAGAAATAAGAGAAGGCGGAGAAACGCAGCAGACGGTGGAAACTGAGAACATTCTCTCCAAAGACATGTTTAAACCTTACTGGATCAGTTGGGATGAAGGTAGTGACCTTTACCTTTAAAAAATTCAAGAAATTGTTTAATTTGAATTTTTATTTATTTGTACAAACAAACGTCTATGTGTTATGCTAAAGAAAATGAGAATAGCACAACTATTTGCCACACGCCTCCAATTCTAATGAACCGTTATGTGAAAACAGTCATCCTAGATTCCGAGTAGTGTCATGTCATATAAAACATACTTATGTGCATCACCCTCTGATTGCTCACACACACAACACACACACACACACACACACACACACACACACAAGAAAATAAGAAAAAAAAATAGAAAAAAAACTGATAAAGTTAGTAACGACGTCTGTAATTAAAAGCTTGAATCTCTAATCATTTTCAGCAAAAATTCAGATGGGGCAAGGTCAAGAGGTCAAGAAGGACGTGGTGGTAGAGTGGGCTATACCCGAGGACAAAATACACCCAGTCAATGCGGTTGCAGTTGCTGTGGATGATAAGGATGGAGGGTCTTGGAGACTGCCTGATTTTGCAGGTAAATATTACGTGCGTGGGTTGTATCATTGATTCCTAAACGGCTTTGATCCATGANCCAACAGGTCAAGAAGGACGTGGTGGTAGAGTGGGCTATACCCGAGGACAAAATACACCCAGTCAATGCTGTTGCAGTTGCTGTGGATGATAAGGATGGAGGGTCTTGGAGACTGCCTGATTTTGCAGGTAAATATTACGTGCGTGGGTTGTATCATTGATTCCAAAACGGCTTTGATTCATGATATACCTTACCGTGTGGTTGAACAAAATGCACAGAATTACCATGCTACAAATGTGTTAAATTCAGTAATGAAATGATTAAATTTGGTGTTTTCCCCTTTAGTATGCCAAATGCATCCCTAGTTTGACTTAACCCACTCCTTTGCATTACATGAACGCTAATAGACCATGCTTTCCATCCCGTACCATAGTAATTGTGCCAGAATCGGGAAAATCAGTTGACTGAAGAAAAATTAATTAATAAATATACCTTTTTACCAATGCAATCAAGTACAAATGCCTGCTTGGATGATTTAAGCACTGAATACCCATGATTTGCGCACTTCCTCGTTGTGAATTTGTTTTAGAACCAAAAGAAACGCCGGAAAAAGAGACCGAAGTAGTGACCTACGACGAGTCAGTGCGATTTAAAGAGGCGCTGAATTTCATGATAAACAATAAAGAACCCAAGCCAGGTAACATGTTCAGCATGGTCAAGAGTATTTGTCAATAGCTTTTCCATATATATCAAAAATTGTAAAGACAGCCGTTCAGGTACAACAATCACATTTTAAAGTAATATTAGTATTGTTTGTGTAAACGAGAGACATGTTTTCAAATTTATACATGTACGCTAGATCAATTAATTGGCTACATTCTGGTGTATAGATTTACAGATTTTTCTCGTTTTAGCTCAAGAGCTTTATTCCATTTTGCAATTTCTTCAAATTCATTTTTATTAATTTTGCATGTCATTAGTGATCAGCGAGGTAACGGTATATTCATAGATCAGTTTTAAACATTTTCAGAAAATGTGGAGACATTTGTCACAAACCCGGACGATGATTACTATTTCTTCGAGGAAACTACAGTTGTGGAAAAGAAGTGGGTAATCTTCAATGTAAAATCAAAAGGGGAACTCCATGTTGTCTTATCGTCTGTATCTGGTCTCGATAAAAACAGAAAATATGAAATTATTCTGGGCTGCGACGCAAACAACAAGTCCAAAATACTCGAAAATGGAGAAGAGAAAGTGGAGACTGATACGCATGATATAATATCAGACACTGAATATCATGTTTTCTGGATAACTTGGACGGACCAAAAACTTCGTGTTGGTAGAGGGAAGTTTGAGGGATTTGATCTGCTGATGGAGTTACCAATACCAGATGAAAATTACGAAATTATCTCCGCGGCCGTGCTTAGTACTGATACGGCTGAATGGCAGGTGCTCAAAGTGACCGGTGAGTGTTACTGCACTAAGCTATCTCTGACAGTATCTCTCTCTCCTATTGTAAATGAAGGATATCACGCAGCTGGTGAAATGCATTTTATATAGTGTTTTGTGTGGTTTAATGAATTTCCTCTAGGGACCCGATAGTTTATTATTGCTTGGTGTAACATATAACTAGGTAAATGTAACAGAAATTTTAAGTTGGTTAAAATTAAACGGCAGTAAAGTTGATGAGGGGCGTTTGCAAAATATTCTCTTCAACTGTCACACAATCATTTTCTTTTTAAATAACGATGTTTTATTAAGCTTTAATACCCAGTATTCCAATTAAAAGGAGAATGTTGACAAAATTGATATTATTTAAGGTGATGTGACCGACTCCACTGAAACCACTACTGTTGAGCAGACGACAGACGAACAGCGATACCATATAACACCTGAAGGATTAAAGGTTCCCATAGAAACAAGCAGAAAAGTGTCGGAGTCAGGAGAAGAGGAAAAGCCATACTTTGGTAAGAAAATAACACGTCCATAATACCAGTACCAACTTGTCAATAACGTCATAGACGGAATTCAAAAAAGACACAAAAATATATATGTATGTGTGTGTGTGTGTGTGTGTGTTTGTGTCGTTTTTAAAAATAGTTATAAAATTCGTATCGACAGATAGTCACAGAAATAGAGCTTGACCATTTCGCGTTGCAGTTTAGGATTTTGTAAATGCGTGAACATTTTTTTTTAGAAACTATCATCTCCGCCAAATCCGAGCCAGATGGCGAATATGAGACTTTCGAGGAATGGACAGAGACATTTGAGGAGTGGACAGAGTGGACGGTGTTCAGAGTCAAGACTGACCAAGAAGCCAAAGTGGCCCTGTCAGGGAGTTCAGAAACTGGGGGCAGTGAACTGAGGAAGGATGCATATGAGGTTTGTGTCAGTGTGATTCAGGTGCTTCATTTTCTTTCTCACGTAGACTTGGATATACAAAATACTCGGTGAATTCAGATTTGATGTTTGATGAACAACCATAATGAGAAACAGTCTGAATTTTTATCCATATCTCCACTGTTTTAATAAGTATTTCATTAGAAATTCTACTGACTTCTGTTTATAGATGAGTTACTATTTCTTGCAACAAAACATCTGGAGTTTGTTTAAAACAATTAAAAAAAAGAGCCTAACAGTAATATTCAAATACACACTGTTAGTTTTGAACTACCCTTCTTTGAGGAAATATGCACTTCTAATGTAGCCCTTTGTACTTACCAGATCATTCTTGGAGCTGACAACAACAAAAAGACTTACATCAAGCAAAACGACCGTATTGAAGCAGAAGTTTCCAGTAAGGGGATCCTCAGCTCTGACAACTTCAGAACATTTTGGTTGTCTTGGGAGGACGCGAAAGTGCAGATCGGGAGAGGGTACAAGAAGGGCAATGATAAGATCCTGGAATGGGAGCCGCCGAAGGAAAGCTGGCAAAAGATTACGAACTTGGGCGTCAGTTCGGGTGTGACAGGGGCAGAGTGGGAGTTCCTCAAGTATAAAGGTAAGGCCATAAAAATGATTAAGTAGACCAAGGGCTTTTAGATATAACATCAAAAGTGCAAAATAGAAAAATAATGATTTCTACTGTGGAATATCGTGGATTATCACACGTACTATCACAGAATTGATGCATACCCTGTTGTGGACGGAGTCTTCTGAAATAACATATACAGGTACTCAAAGTGTGTAACTCTGAAAACCAGCAATCCAGCTGATAGCTATCCACAAGAAAGTATTTTGCTATCTGTATTTCTTAAAGGTTGGAGGCAGACCGCTGGAGATGAGTACCTGTTTGATCAAGATTATCCTAGTGAATCAGAAAGTGAGGGTGGCCTAGACCTGATAGGTGAGTGGCAGTTACTCTTGGCTTAATAGATTTTTATTTAAAGTTTCAAATGAAAACAAGAAATTTGTCTGTTTGTATCTGTTTTTTTTTTCATGGCAAACTTATTTTCTATTTCAGAAAACTTCATTACCGTCCTCACTCCTGCGGTTTACGATTATCAGTACCTACCAGAAGTACCGGTGACAGATAAAACATGGATTACATTCCGGCTGAGGGCAGGGTGCAACGGAAATATAGCCCTGTCTTCAATATATGGGGAAACCGACAGCAAAACGTACGAAATTCAGCTTGGGGGTAGGGACAACAACCGGTCGATGATTCGACATGGCGGGCATGGTGCTATTTATGCTGAAACTTATACCAGAGGAGTGTTAAATCCCCAGGAATTTCGACCGTTTTGGATCAGCTGGGATGGAGGTATGCGTGATAAAGCCCATGTTGTCCTCTTTTTGTTTTTGTACAAAATGAATGAGATTGATTGATAGATAGATGGATAGATAGATGGATGGATAGAATTTATAATAAATTTTAGACATAATGTTTTGACAAAGTAATTATGTGTAAAACGAATGCTGTCACTTAAAATATGTGTTATGTTATTACAGCGATATAAACCAAAATTTTGATGAGGGGCCCCTTAAATACAACCTCTCTATCAAAGATAAAATCATTTTACCAAAGAAATTTTACTTATAAATTGTACTTATAAATTGTACTTATATTTTATACTCCGAACATTTAATATTATTTTACAGGCAAAATAAGAGTAGGCAGAGGAAACAAGAAGTACAAGCGATCTTTCTTAGAATGGACCATACCGGAAGAAAAGATGCATTCTGTCAACTGCCTTGCGGTAGCGACAGGAGAGGGATCCGATGGGCAGTGGGAATTTGTTGAATATATAGGTAATTCCATCACAATTAATGAAATTTGATATGTAACAGGGCCTCTTTTTCAATATGGATTCCATAAACAAGGTGCATTTTAGATAATGAAACAGCCAAATTTAGAAGACGGGTAATTCTAGCAAGGTGTTAAAGCGTATATTTTTTCTATGCTTTTAGCTATTTAAACTAATATAAGTAATTAACTATACTTTGTAGATCCCAATAAAGAAGAAACGAAAGAAGACCGCATGAAGCAGGCCCGAGTTAGCCTTTTGTGGATGTCTAAAAAGCAAAGAATGTTAAATATATTGGAGGATGCCTATCCGAATCCTTTGGATACAAAGGACCTCTTGAGGTAAAAGCGATTATGTTTCTGTACATTGTATTTTGATACTTCAATGAGTATATACCGTGCACGTCGGTTTCATTTGGAGATATTAAATTTGATTTTAGTTTGACTTTAACATGATGTTGAACTGGGCTTGCAAANTCAAGAGGTCAAGAAGGACGTGGTGGTAGAGTGGGCTATACCCGAGGACAAAATACACCCAGTCAATGCGGTTGCAGTTGCTGTGGATGATAAGGATGGAGGGTCTTGGAGACTGCCTGATTTTGCAGGTAAATATTACGTGCGTGGGTTGTATCATTGATTCCTAAACGGCTTTGATCCATGATATACCTTGTCGTGTGATTGAACAAAATGCACAGAATTACCATGCTACAAATGTGTTAAATTCAGTGATGAAATTATTAAATTTGGTGTTTTTCCCTTTAGTATACCAAATGCATCCCTAGTTTGACTTAACCCACTCCTTTGCATTACATGAACGCTAATAGACAATGCTTTCCATCCCGTACCATAGTAATGGTGCCAGAATCGGGAAAATCAGTTGATTGAAGAAAAATTAATTAATAAATAGACCTCTTTACCTATGCAATCAAGTACAAATACCTGCTTGGATGATTTAAGCACTGAATACCCATGATTTGCGCACTTCCTCGTTGTGAATTTGTTTTAGAACCAAAAGAAACGCCGGAAAAAGAGACCGAAGTAGTGACCTACGACGAGTCAGTGCGATTTAAAGAGGCGCTGAATTTCATGATAAACAATAAAGAACCCAAGCCAGGTAACATGTTAAGCATGTTCAAGAGTATTTGTCAATAGCTTTTCCATATATATCAAAAATTGTAAAGACAGCCGTTCAGGTACAACAATCACATTTTAAAGTAATATTAGTATTGTTTGTGTAAACGAGAGACATGTTTTCAAATTTATACATATACGCTAGATCAATTAATTGGCTACATACTGGTGTATAGATTTACAGATTTTTCTCGTTTTAGCTCAAGAGCTTTATTCCATTTTGCAATTTCTTCAAATTCATTTTTATTAATTTTTCATGTCATTAGTGATCAGCGAGATAACGGTATATTCATAGATCAGTTTTTAACATTTTCAGAAAATGTGGAGACATTCGTCACAAACCCGGACGATGATTACTATTTCTTCGAGGAAACTACAGTTGTGGAAAAGAAGTGGGTAATCTTCAACGTTAAATCAAAAGGGGAACTCCATGTTGTCTTATCGTCTGTATCTGGTCTCGATAAAAACAGAAAATATGAAATTATTCTGGGCTGCGACGCAAACAACAAGTCCAAAATACTCGAAAATGGAGAAGTGAAAGTGGTGACTGATACGCATGATATAATATCAGACACTGAATATCATGTTTTCTGGATAACTTGGACGGACCAAAAACTTCGTGTTGGTAGAGGGAAGTTTGAGGGATTTGATCTGCTGATGGAGTTACCAATACCAGATGAAAATTACGAAATCATCTCCGCGGCCGTGCTTAGTACTGATACGGCTGAATGGCAGGTGCTCAAAGTGACCGGTGAGTGTTACTGCACTAAGCTATCTCTGACAGTATCTCTCTCTCCTCTTGTATATGAAGGAAATATCACGCAGCTGGTGAAATGCATTTTATATAGTGTTTTGTGTGGTTTAATGAATTTCCTCTAGGGACCCGATAGTTTATTATTGCTTGGTGTAACATATAACTGGGTAAATGTAACAGAAATTTTAAGTTGGTTAAAATTAAACGGCAGTAAAGTTGATGAGGGGCGTTTGCAAAATATTCTCTTCAACTGTCACACGATCATTTTCTTTTTAAATAACGATGTTTTATTAAGCTTTAATACCCAGTATTCCAATTAAAAGGAGAATGTTGACAAAATTGATATTATTTAAGGTGATGTGACCGACTCCACTGAAACCACTACTGTTGAGCAGACGACAGACGAACAGCGATACCATATAACACCTGAAGGATTAAAGGTTCCCATAGAAACAAGCAGAAAAGTGTCGGAGTCAGGAGAAGAGGAAAAGCCATACTTTGGTAAGAAAATAACACGTCCATAATACCAGTACCAACTTGTCAATAACGTCATAGACGGAATTCAAAAAAGACACAAAAATATATATGTATGTGTGTGTTTGTGTGTGTGTGTGTTTGTGTCGTTTTTAAAAATAGTTATAAAATTCGTATCGACAGATAGTCACAGAAATAGAGCTTGACCATTTCGCGTTGCAGTTTAGGATTTTGTAAATGCGTGAAAATTTTTTTTTAGAAACTATCATCTCCGCCAAATCCGAGCCAGATGGCGAATATGAGACTTTCGAGGAATGGACAGAGACATTTGAGGAGTGGACAGAGTGGACGGTGTTCAGAGTCAAGACTGACCAAGAAGCCAAAGTGGCCCTGTCAGGGAGTTCAGAAACTGGGGGCAGTGAACTGAGGAAGGATGCATATGAGGTTTGTGTCAGTGTGATTCAGGTGCTTCATTTTCTTTCTCACGTAGACTTGGATATACAAAATACTCGGTGAATTCAGATTTGATGTTTGATGAACAACCATAATGAGAAACAGTCTGAATTTTTATCCATATCTCCACTGTTTTAATAAGTATTTCATTAGAAATTCTACTGACTTCTGTTTATAGATGAGTTACTATTTCTTGCAACAAAACATCTGGATAAATATTTTTGTGGAGTTTGTTTAAAACAATTAAAAAAAAGAGCCTAACAGTAATATTCAAATACACACTGTTAGTTTTGAACTACCCTTCTTTGAGGAAATATGCACTTCTAATGTAGCCCTTTGTACTTACCAGATCATTCTTGGAGCTGACAACAACAAAAAGACTTACATCAAGCAAAACGACCGTATTGAAGCAGAAGTTTCCAGTAAGGGGATCCTCAGCTCTGACAACTTCAGAACATTTTGGTTGTCTTGGGAGGACGCGAAAGTGCAGATCGGGAGAGGGTACAAGAAGGGCAATGATAAGATCCTGGAATGGGAGCCGCCGAAGGAAAGCTGGCAAAAGATTACGAACTTGGGCGTCAGTTCGGGTGTGACAGCGGCAGAGTGGGAGTTCCTCAAGTATAAAGGTATGGCCATAAAACTGATTAAGTAGACCAAGGGCTTTTAGATATAACATCGAAAGTGCATAATAGGAAAATAATGTTTTCTGCTGTGGAATATCGTTGATTATCACTTGTACTATCACAGAATTGATGCACATCCTGTTGTGGACGGAGTCTTCTGAATTAACATATACCCAAAGTGTGTAACTCTGAAAACCAGCAATCCAACTGATAGCTACAGTATGTGCAAGAAAGTATTTTGCTATTTCTGTATTTCTTAAAGGTTGGAGGCAGACCGCTGGAGATGAGTACCTGTTTGATCAAGATTATCCTAGTGAATCAGAAAGTGAGGGTGGCCTAGACCTGATAGGTGAGTGGCAGTTACTCTTAGCTTAATAGATTTTTATTTAAAGTTTCAAACGAAAACAAGAAATTTGTCAGTTTATGTCTGTTTTCTTTTCATGGCAAACTTACTTTCTATTTCAGAAAACTTCATCACCGTCCTCACTCCTGCGGTTTACGATTATCAGTACCTACCAGAAGTACCGGTGACAGATAAAACATGGATTACATTCCGGCTGAGGGCAGGGTGCAACGGAAATATAGCCCTGTCTTCAATATACGGGGAAACCGACAGCAAAACGTACGAAATTCAGCTTGGAGGTAGGGACAACAACCGGTCGATGATTCGACATGGCGGGCATGGTGCTATTTATGCTGAAACTTATACCAGAGGAGTGTTAAATCCCCAGGAATTCCGACCATTTTGGATCAGTTGGGATGGAGGTATGTATGATAAAGCTCATGTTGTCCTCTTTTTGATTTTGTACAAAATGAATGAGATAGATAGATGGATGGATATATAAGATTTAAAATAAAATTTCGAATGCTTCTTTTGGATATAACGTTTTGACAAAGTAATTAATTTGTGAAGCGAATGTCCCCACTTAAAATATCTGTTTTGATATTACAGCGATATAAACCAAGGCTTTGATGAGGGCCCCTTAAATACAGCTCCTCTATCAAAGAGAAAATCATTTTACCAAGGAAAGTTGTCTAGGCAAATTTTACAGATTTAGTTATTGCATTATTATACTAACATTTTATACATCTAATATTTTAAATTGTTTTACAGGCAAAATAAGAGTAGGCAGAGGAAACAAGAAGTATAAGCGATCTTTCTTAGAATGGACCATACCGGAAGAGAAGATGCACTCTGTCAATTGCCTTGCGGTAGCGACAGGAGAGGGATCCGATGGGCAATGGGAATTTGTAGAATATATAGGTAATTCCATCACATCCATAAAAAGACATGTAACAGGACTTCTTCTTGTATATTTTTATTGTGTATTTAAGATATTGAAGCAGTAAAATTTAAAGCTTACTTCAATCGCAGCAGAGAGAAGACAGGTATTTTTAGCAAGGTGTTACAGCGTACATTTTTGTGTTTTTAGCTATTTAAACTATATAAGTATGAATTTACTTTGTAGATCCAAATAAAGAAGAAACGAAAGAAGACCGCATGAAGCAGGCCCGAGTTAGCCTCTTGTGGATGTCTAAAAAACAAAGAATGTTAAATATATTGGAGGATGCCTATCCGAATCCTTTGGATACAAAGGACCTCTTGAGGTAAAAGCGATTATGTTTCTGTACATTGTATTTTGATACTTCAATGAGTATATACCGTGCACGTCGGTTTCATTTGAACATATTAAATTTGATTTTAGTTTGACTTTAACATGATTTTGAACTGGGCTTGCAGACTACTAGGAATTAACCTCTTTAACCATTTTTGAAAGGTCCATGAGCATAATTGGCTTTTAAGTTTTTAACTTAGAGATCTATACATATTAAATAATATGTATTTTAAGTTTGCTTCGTTGTTGTTAAAATAAAAAAAACAACGCATTTAATATTTATTATTCTGTAAAAACACCACTGCCCACTTTTAAAGACATTGCCAGGAATACCATGTTATTGCATTGCATGCGTAGTCATTTATTTGTGCTTACTATTCTTTTACATGTGCCAGTATTTTATGTACCAACACTGCGTCTTATGATAAATATCGGTAGGTTAAGGACACTGTGGGATTGACATACCTTCACTTCCTGCAATATTGGCCTCGTTCTTTCTGGGTCATCCAATGGTACCGTTATAATATAATTTCGCAAACGAGGCGTGTAGTTGGAGACCAATTAACCCACTTGTCACAGATGGTATCTTCCACTGTGAAGAGCCAATGCATCTCTATCCTTATTTATAATTGAAAGATCTAGTTTGTTGCCCTCATCTATATAGAATCAGGGTAGGCTAGGATTTTTAACCTAGTGGTGTGTGTGTCAGTTGCTCACCTGTTTGAAGGGTTCCTTTATTGTTTTGATTTTTTCTGATAGAATGACCACCCCGTCTTCAAGAAGTGAATTGTGAAATTGATGAGTTTTTCTCTTGATAATGGCAGAGTTTGCATTTTGATTATTTTCTTGTTATATTTCCTCTGCAAGTTCTTCTGTTTTTATCACTCTTTGTGGGTTGAATCTGACGAAAGTGTTTTGCAATACGATATATACAAACCCAATATATGTTCAGTTTTCTCTTGCATATGTTCAAGTTCCAAAGACTTTATGCCTATTCCAACACCTACAGATGCTCCACACCATAGATTAAAAACATACCTACTTTAAAATCTTTTATGACATTAAAACATGATTAGAAATTCATTTACCTTATCGAACTGGTAGCATTACAGAATTAGACCAATAGACATAGAATGCTAAAAAGACTTATTGACATTTATAGGCCTATGTAGTTATTAAAATATTATTTTTAAAGTATTAAAATATACTAAAACATCATGTATGTGATAACTTTGTTCCACTTGATTTATATATATATATATATATATATATATATATATATATATATATATATATATATATATATATATATATATCATAAAGCCATAAGCCTACAGCATGGTAAGACTACTCTGGTGTACAAATCAAACTGAGAAGAACGGGATGTTGCATGTTCGAAATTGGTTCGCCTTTTTTCAGTTTTTATTTAATTCATTTGTTTAGGTTAATGAAAACGAAACCCACGGACATGATGATGTCCGTGGTGATGCTGAAGGAAATGGAGGACAGGGGACTCATAAAGGAAGTAGAAAAGGGGAAATGGATGCGCGCGCATATAATCCTGGCTGCCCCTTCACATGGTATGGAAAATGAAGATCTTTAACTGAATGCTTATGTCATTAGCATTGCTTTAAAACAAAATAAAATTTGCGCTCGAAATGATTTGCGCCCACATTGACAACACGTAGTGCATATGTGATTGTTTTTTTATTTGTTGTGTACTATGCAAAATGAAAGATGTATCTGTGAGAATTTGTTTGCATTTTGCCCCAAATAGAAATTATCTTCCGATGCATTGAAAATCAACATTAGGTCGCAGTGGCCATATAAAGTGGTATTTGAAACAGGGATTATTAATCTACTTTTGTATATGCTGTTATATGTAATGTAATGAAATGTTCCAGATGTCCATGTCGTGAGAGAGATGCCTGCCATACAGTCCCAGGCGCAGCCAACCATCGCCATCATCACCACTCTATACTATGAGAAAGTGGCCGTAGACACTATGATTGATAACAAGGTCACCTTTTTGAAGTACACCACTGATGGTGATTCACAGGTAAAGTTTTTTAAACTGTTATTCAACAGAAAGATGGGGAAACGCGAAACCTGTTTTTAGTATTGGAACTACCTGTACGCATGGTTAGGCCTACTAATCACAAAATGGGAAGTTTTCAGATGAATAATTTCTTTGGTCAACAGCTAAGATAAAAGCTAATGCTCTCTATAAGGAAGCTGTTTGTTAACCTGACATCTTAATACACCTGAGTACAAGAGAACAAATAAAGTTCTGATTTGAGATTTTGATTTAAGAAAATGCCACATTTAGTGTGCGAGTGAAGTTCCAGCATAGAATTATAATTACAGAAAATTAATGTGCATTTTTATTAGAAATAGAGCATGGCACTCCACTGAATTTTAAAACCTGTTTACTTGAATAATATCAATTCGGTTTAAACCTACTGCAGTTGACGAGGGCATTGAGATGAATTGGTGAGTTAATGGATACATATTCCTTTTGTACGCTCAGGTCTTCACCTTTGGTAACATCGGCAGGCACCGGGTGGTTTCCACCAAATTTCCCAGTGCCTCCAGCGTGCCATTAGAGGAAGGAAGGATAGAAAAGGCATCTCAGGAACTTTTAGGTACACACCAGTTTTAGTATACACCGATGCCTTTCTCAGTAATAATCTTGACGTGATTATCTGCACTGCATTAAAATGCTGTGTTTGGTCAGCCCTTTCATGAAAAATTAAATTCCAAACATACCAGTGACCAATAACGTATTACAGCCTAGGGGAAATCAAATTATCAAATCGATTTTGATATAAATTTTAAAAATGCAGAATTTTTTAATACTTATCACACGATTAAGTAGGCAAAAAAACATGTTCAGTGGTTTTGTATCCTGGAGTACTAAAATGATTAAAACAATGATTAAAAACTGATATTATTATTGTTATTATTTTAATTATTTTCATTTTAAAGAACTATTTAGAAGAATATCCAACGTGATCATAGTTGGTGTGGCAGGAGGCGTTCCTCACTATTCGGACTTTGACAAACACGTCCGCCGCGGTGACATTGTCGTTGGGTTTGCCAGGGAATCTCAAGGCCACGTTTATATACACTGTGATAAGTTAGAAACGGCTTCTGAAGATGGAAGTAAACTCCGGTAAGTGGCTTTTAATGATGCATTTGGCCGCCGATTGTGTGTGTAATGTGCATGAATCAGTGACACCTTTTTTTGTCCAGTAGAGAGCGAAATGATGAAATCCCAGGTCGCACATGGAAGCAATATCGATTTTCTGCTTATTCTTTTCAGTGTATGCATTAACATTCATAATGTTTAGCCTTACATCGTCAAATCACACAGTGAAAAAGGACTAGCTCATCGACTATAAAAATGTATCATCATCAAACATTACTGATATGTTCTAGCGAATTGTCAAATTTCAATATACCTGTATTGAAAACCGAATAGGTTTTATCTATTTAAAACTCTAAAGCTTTTTCTTCATTTTACAGTTTCATCACACGTTCTTGGGGTAGCCGTGACTACTCCATGAAGTCCGTTGTCAAACGCCTTAAATCAATGGCAGAGCATCTTTCAGCACGTGAAAGGCCTTGGGAAGAACACATTTTTGCGGGACAGGAAACCCTCCACAGTGAAGACTCTGCTTTCCAAAGACCTTCAGTCAAATCTGATCGCCTCTTTTACAAAATGGAAGATGGCGAAGTGGTACGGGTTCAACACCCTAAACCCCCGAGAGCTTTTGAGAGTTTGTACCCGGAAAATGTACCAACCGTGCGTTTCGGAACGATTGCCTCAGGTCGCCCAATCATACGTCACCAAGACTTCCGCAGCCAATTTGCGGCAGTGTCGGGTGCTTTGGCTTTCAGCTCAAATTATTCTGAATTGGTTGAGACTTTGGCGAAGAGAGGAAAGGACAATTTCCTCGTTATACAAGGAATATGTGATTACGAAAGCGGGGAGAAGAAAGGGTGGCGACCATATTCAGCTTTGTGTGCCGCTGCTTTTGCCAAGACTGTGATTAACCAGCTTTATTAATTGCAAGTGTAATGTGGACGGGTTTGTTGTTTATCAGTTATAGCGTAAGTGAAGGTATCATGTAAGAAAATTTTCATTTAGAGCAGTGTCTTTCATAAGTATATCACAGTAAAATCAGCAGTTTATGGTTTGTCATTTAATGCACAAAACATAACCAGTCGTCCTAGCTCATATATGAACTTGAGCATGAGATTTCATTTTAACTCTGTGCCATCTTGCGCAATAATATTCATTTCCATTTTTTTATAATTGATCACTCTTTTACCAAGTTGTAGATTGGTAATTTTTATTATCTAAGATAATGAAATGCCTAATGTTTTTTGTTGGCTTATGATGCTTACACAGACTATATAACTCGAACAGATTATATGTTAAGTAGTGGTTTGAAAAACCCTGCGTGCTACAAAGTCTTACGGTGGATAGTTGTGATTTTTTTCAATGCTGTAAAGCACATCGCTACCAGTGGTTACTGCAGAACGTTTGTACTACTTTTTAACAGGGACACCTGTGTAATTATAGACTAAGCGTATGATAATTATACTAGGCGTTAAACCAATGATCATTATGCACTCACACATGAGTCTACGTTTACTTCGTGGTTTGTCATGCCAGAATTTACAAATCTAAAGGTATAGGGATGGTTCTTGTAAATTTGTCGTTCTAAATGTCATTCCCGCCTTTAAAAGATTGATATGGTGGAATGTGTATCTTTTCATCCTTACATATTTTAACGCCATATGCACCGAAAATGTTTCCATTCCCCTGTGATGTTTCTTAAGAGTGTTTTCTCGTTATACATTGTGTATATAATTTCCATCTAACTTTTGCTATTTTGCACCTCTAAATAATTTAGGTTTTCACTGATGATATTAGACAGGTGGCTTTTACATTATTCATGATCTTTGAATGCTTGATGTTTTTATATTATTAGTTGGTATTTTTATATCTCATTTCATATATTGACGTTTATCTGGTTTATCTATAACAAGACGTGTTTGACGAAATCAGTTAATTAACTGAGTATTTAGCATTTTATATGTCTATATTCACGCCAGTAATAATTACCAAGTATGTCTTAATTATGTTTTAACTAGAAAAGAACTTTTCCGTACGGCATCACCATTTTTTGTTAGCTGATGACATTCTAAGAAGCTACAAAAATCTTGTTTTTATATTAAAAAGGGATAAATAGCGTACATCTGTATATTGTTAAATGATTGAGGTTTAAGTGAAGGGGCATTTAATGTTGACTCGCTTTGCAATTTAAAAATAAATGTCTAAAAGACTTGTTGATATGCCTTGCTGGGTTCTTTACATACACTTATTGATACTTAGTGACACATATAGACTAATTATATCCAATCCAAAATACGATTGAGTGAAATGATTGCTCCAGTATTAGCTAATGAGAAATTGGTTTTTTGAAACTGGATATAGATATCGTAGAACTTCGAACTAAATTCTGTTTCTATTTTTGTCATAATAATATGTCAAAAAAGGGGGCATTAAAAACATATTCCTGTAGGAGAGGGAAAGTCTGTTACGTCAGTCTCCTTTTGTTCATTCACATTAAAGGTGCATGTGCTCCCACTGAAACTATCAAACTAGGTGGGTCGGTCCAACTCCATGGGGGGCTAAGTGCTCAAAAAAGTTAACCACCCTTAACTGCTTGAGGCGTGTCGTTCAGTTCATCTGATTGTATTCAGCGTGAGTCCTCAGAGTTTGATCGATTCACCTAACACAATGGTTTCATGGGGAAGGCACCCTAAGACTGTAGACACCGGTGGGGTATTGGCTTTTAAGAATTACCTTGCATGTGGACCGAAACCGCCGACTGATCTAGAGATGCAAAGACAAAATACGTTTGTTGCGATATTTTAGTGACATCATGTCATATCAGGCTGCATGGTTATTCAGATTAGGTTATTTGCAGTGACAATCACTCAGGTAGCTAAAAAGACAATGGAAGATGGCGACAGACAAGGAGAAAACAACGTCCGATTAAAAATACTTTTGCATACACAACTGGCCTGTGTTCCGCACGATCTGCGGCACATTTTCAGAAAGAATGAGCCGTTGTGAAAGGAATGGTAGTTCTAGGAAAGTCCGGGGACCATATAATAAGTACAGATTGATGTTAAAGCCCCTTTATTCTGCATGGCGTCATCACGTTTTTCTTAACTTTAATGTAAGTAACTTTGTATGCGTTTCCTATTTGCACACCAAACTAATCTCGGGTTAAAGATTGGGAATAATTTGATATTTGTGTTGTTTGAATTACATGTCAAACTACATATACATATAATTGTATTCTTAGTATCTTATACTTTATATTGCAACGGGCATATGACTGCGGTACAACATGAGCTCATTAGAAGACGTATACCAGCATAAATATGAGATAAAAACAAGGTCAGCAAAACTGAGGGTTCAAGGTATCTGCACAATGGATGTTTTGAGTCTTCGCTTATCTCCAAAGATTGGTGGTGCGATGAAAATAATTATATTGATTGTTGGGGCACTACTAGTCATTTCTTTCGTATTGTTTACAGATATTACAAGGATCGTAAAGAAATGGCAGTTAGGGGTGCCGACTGTTGACCCTTCAGCTAGGCACTGCGAGGAACCCGGCGTTCTTCGAGGTGATGGCAAACTGACAAGTGTAGACATGATCGAGGACCTGGGATCAAAGAGAATGAAAGCAACAGACCCGAGATTATTGAAGCTCCTCCGCGAAAAATGGCTTCTTGCACCCTCCAACCGTCCATATCACTTGGCTGAACCACAAAAAATACATACGTCTCAAGTTGGGCAATCGCAGGCAATTGATAAGCTACTAAAGCAGAGAAAGAACGGTTTCTTTGTCGAGGCGGGAGCCGCAGATGGCGAACTTTTATCTAACTCCTTGTTTTTTGAGAGATTTCGTAACTGGACGGGAGTACTTGTAGAAGCAGACCCATGGACCTTTGATAAGATGACAAAAAAACACAGGTAGGTGTTTTTTCTTTCGAAATCATAGTTTCCAACTACCAAAAATCTGTCACACAAACCCGCTTCTGTGTGCTAGGTTATTTATAAGCCTGACCTGTAAGTCTCGATTTCTGAATAATATATAATATGTAATGCACTGTATGGCACAGGCGCGGTTTCTCACTGATTCCCCTTTGACGGATCGCGATTGTTTAAGGACAGTTGCTAATCCATCATACTGTTTTTCTAAGCTAGTAAAAAGGGAGGGTTATATAATAGTGTCATTTTTTATCGAAAGCAAATTTGTCTTTCAAAAAGAAATCTGCAATTCATCCGAATTAAAAGTAGTTCGGCTAGTCAGAAAATTTGATTTTCTCTTTGCTCGAAAGGAGAAACTGGCCTAGTAAGGAAGGCGTTGCTGATGTGACCACCCTAAATCTGAATTCAAATTTAGTCTGTATAAACTTTGCTTGTCTGATCTCGGGGTTTGATTCAGGTCAAACACTGAGTTGCAGGGGACATTGGGAACTGCATTCTCTACTTTGGATTAACACATTACCTCTTCTAAGTATAATGCAAATATTGACATTGTTCATTTCGGGAGAATGTAAGGTTCATTGATCTACATAATTATATCTCGGGACAAATAGTAGGTATGGATTATGACAGTTCATATTTGTTTTATTATATATCGGAAATTTTGTCTCCACTGGCCCCACATCTATCTTTAATTTCCAAATGGTCCCTGCTTCCCTCATGTGCAGTAACAATTTTTTCTTTAGTTTTACATTAATTTATTGTAATTGTTTATTCTTGACAATTTTGATCTTTTATTTTTAATTCAGGAAATCAAATATAATTAACGCTTGCCTGTCTCCGAAACCGCACCCAGTGCGAATGGAATTTAACTATGCGAATTTTTTGGGTGGCATCAGTGAACTGGACCGCAAATTTCCAAGAGGAAAAGGCAAAGGACTAGCACAATGTTTCCCAATACACTCCATCCTGGCCGCACTGGGCGTCAGCCACGTGGACTACTTCTCCCTGGACGTCGAGGGGGCCGAGGTGGAGATTCTCAAGACATTCCCTTGGAAAGAAATCATAGTGGACGTGTGGACGGTGGAGTTCGGGGTCCTCAATGCGAGGGGAGGAACGGAGGAGGTCCGGCGCATGAGAGAAATCAGGAAGATCTTTCAGAATACAGAGCTGTACCAAGAGATAGATGCTCCTGGATTAAATTTTGATTTTCTATTTGCTCGAAAAGAGATACTGGCCTAGTAAGGAAGGCGTTGCTGATATAGCCATCCTCAAACCTGAATTCAAATTTGGTCTGTATAAACTTTGTTTGTCTGATCTTGGGGTTTGACTTCATGTCGAGTTCAAGTCAAATCCCGAGTTTCAGGGACTACTGGGAAATGCCTCCTCTACTTTGGATTATCATACATACATTTTCTCAAGTTATCATCATCATTATACCAAAAGTCCAAAACCACTGCATAGGGAACCTGAAATATCCAAAATAACAGCAAATTACCATGGAAATTTACACTCTTGCATATCAAAGGTCATTGTTCTTGGTTCTTACCACTATTTCAAATTAATAACACACTACATTCGTTTGTGTGCATCCATATTCTGTTTGAAATGATGATCATTCCATTTGTTAAATCCAAAGGGTATCCAACAGTATTCAGACAAATATTACTAAATGGGGTTATAAATCATTTATTTATTGCAATTATCAGATATGATTTGGTTTCTTGTAATACGTTGACTTTCACTTCTAAATGAATTCCACTTTAAAATGCAACTTCGAATTGAATGTATTTCAAACGGTAATTTTTAACAAGAAAAGTAGCTATCTATTCTACTTGAAAGGGATAACAATTGTTCGTTTTGGGCAAAAAATTATTTTTCTGGAACTTGCGACGTTTTTTTTACTTACCAATGGTTTATGAATCTGTCACGACATTCAAAGTTGGTCCATATGTTTTTTAACTTTGGTTTTTGTAATAATCTCTTTAGAGATAATCAACAATAATCTCTTATTACAGAGGAATAGCTATCTGTGAGGATCCACGTGGTCTGATGACAAGCCAAATTCCAAAATAATTGTAAAAACCGCTGTTTTGGTGGTAAAATGAAATTTATTATATTTCTGTTGGTTGTTTACAATGTATTTTTTGGTAAATGTGAACCTCATATGCACAGTTGCTATCCCTTTAAAATCTCTTCAATCAGAAGCGATTATAATTGTGACATCATGTTTGACTGTTCACTGCCGTCCAATGGCCCTTTATTTTTTTTGCATTGACGCATATAGATTACCAAATATGGAATCATAATTCTTTATTCTTTGTATCGTAAGGCATTTTAATTTCCAAGTACCTTTATCAAACGCATTTGGATAGAAGCAACCGTCTGCGAACACAGTTCAACCTCTTGCTGCACTTACTGGGTATTTGGTGTGTATTTCTACTGTGGAATGCTGCAGACCAACAAAGTCTACCCCCACCTGAATGGGTGCAAATGGATGAGAAATATATCACATTTACACATGCAGGGCATATTATGGCTCTCCATCTATAAAACTTTATCATTATAAATGAAATCTGGGCTCCGTAATTCGCAAGTTATGGAATCGAGACTCTTGCGCTCGGTCGCAATTCGCGATGCTTTCGAGTTACGGAGCCCTAAGTGCCAACGTGCTGAAAAAAAAAAAAAAAAAAAAGCTCCAGGTGTGTTTATTTATTTATTAAAACCAATCATATTCACGATTAATTTCATCTGGTTAATGGATTTTATAACATTTAATGACAATTAATCCGGAAATAAAAGCCAAAGAAAACTTTTTCTTCTTTCTTTAAAGGCTAAAAGGAACTCCCATGTCATTCTCTCATTCTTCATGTTGTTCTGCAATTTACAATAATACTGCAAACGGAGGCAGGGTATTGGCTTTTAAGAATTGTGGACCAAACCTCAGCCTGCTTTAGAGAAGCAGTTGCAAAATGCGTTTGTTGCGATATTTGAGTGGCGCCATGTCATGTCATGCTGCATTATTATTCAGATTAGTTTTAGAGACCATCACTCAGGCAGCTAGGAAGGCAAAGGCAGATGGCGACCGACGATAAGAAAACAACGTTCGACTAAGCACTTTTGCGGGAACAACCGGCCCGTGTTCCGCACGCTTTGCAGTACATTTCCAGGAGTGAGCCGATGTGCAAGGAATGGTAGTCCTAGGAAAGTACGAGGTCCCATATAATTAGCACAGGTTAGGGTTAGTTGGAGCTTTGGGGTTAATAAATGGGACAAATGTCACCTGG